TTTTATTAATGATATTTATTAATATTTAAAATTAAAATTTATTTTAATTAATTAAAAAAATATTTATTAGAAAGATATTTACAAAATAATAATATTTTTAATATAATATTTTGTTGTTAAATATTTGTAAATAATCTTTAAAAAGAACATACACTTGTGTCTTTTAACATAACATAATATGAGGTGTCGTCTTTCAGAATTTAAAACTTATAGTATCTTTATCTTTATATATATAAAAGTAGATGAGTTTTAGAGGAAAAGTTACAATGATTTTTGGAGGAGAATTTGTCTTCACTTTTTAATACAATAATCTTTATATAATAATTACTAATTACTATTTAAGGCCATCTTAAATGCTTTAATTTAAATCAATTAAATCCATTCATTTTTAATTAACAATTTTGATATATCTTTATTTTTAAGGCCTTCTTGAATGGTTTAATTCAAATCAGTTAAATGTATTTATTTCTAATTAGCTGTCTTTATATATTCAAAAAGTGCATCCTTTGTGGTAGATTTGAACCTTAATATTAATGTTTATTTTAAATTTTATTATTAGAAATTAATAACTGATAAAATTACATAAAACTCTTAAACTTTAAATTAAGTTTATTATAAAATTAAAAAAAATAAGTAAAAAAAATACATAAAAAAAAGTGAAAAGAAAATCAAATATATTGATTTAATTCTCAATGACTTGGAGTGAGTATTATTTTATAACATATTTTAATGGTTAAAATATTTGTTTAATATTTTTTTCTCTTTCATTACTTTATACTAATTAAGATTATATTATATTGAATTTGTTTCCTAAGAATCAGAGAATTGTTTGCACTTTATGGGAGGAGTTTGATGATCAAATGGTTGTTTTTTAAAGAATGAAAATTCTAATGCTTTACCTATTATGATTATTCAATTATATAAAGTGAAAATATTTGGTGGTATGATTCTTTATCTATATTGAACTCTTTTTAATTGTGTGATAATTATTATTATCAACAAATTATATTTTATAGTTGTTTCAAGAACTTTAGGCATATCAAATGCTTATAATGAGACAAAGTTGTATATCAATCTTAACGTAAAAGAGACTATTGATTACAAGAATAAGTAAGTATTTTAATTATTTTTTATTTATAGAGACATCATTATGTTTTGCATGATGTTTTCTATTTTTGTTAACTTATAAGCTATCCAATTTGTGATATAGAATGAATATGAATGATGCATATATAAGTCAAGTATTAAGTCAGATGGGTACTCTTCTGTTTCAATAGAAGATGATTTGCTCCAAGCTCAAAGTATGATCATATATACATGAAATAATTGAGATAAATTATGTATATTTTGTATTGAAATAATGAAGTGAAATGCATATAATTAGCAGTTAAATACAATTTTGAATTTTATTATAAATGATTTACTTTAAATTTTATTCTTTAAAACTGATAATTTGTATATGATTAATGTGGAATAATAGAATAAATGAATAAGAATTAATGAGTATATATATATATACTCTAAGAGTCATTTATGTTACATTTGAATCTATTATAAATAATCAAATGAGAGCTGTATGGACAAACATAAAATATTTAATAAAGATAAAAAAAATTATATTTTATTTAGTCTGTATATATATTAACATATTTGTACTTTCTTTTTAACCTTAATATTAACATATAAGATCATTCATGAAAAATAGTAAAATGAATAAATTATAATTAATTAATTTATATATTTAAAAGGTCATACAACAATGGAATAATAAGAATTAATATTAATTTAGTATTTTTAATTTAAATATTATATAAAAAAAGTACAAAAACTGTTAAAAAGTTAGTATACAAGAAAATCTTTCAAAATATAAATTAGATTTATTATAAAAATTATAACTTTCCTTTTTAATTAATGTCAATAGAAAAGAAAAATACTTTATAAAGTTCTATATTATATTTCTTTCTTTCAAATAACTAATATTTTTATTAATAATAATATTATTATATACTAATTAATGACTTCACTTTCAAATAGTTTAAATATTATTATAAAGTTTTTTTTGTCATAATATTTGTCTATATTTTATATGTGACTCATAAATTTTATATTATATCAACATGTGTAATTTTAATTAATATAAAGATTCATTTTTGTTTTCAATAAAATTATTCTTCTCTTTTACTTTCTATTTAAAATCTTAATTCAAAATTTTAAAATATATAAAGTATATAAAATTTGCATATAAAAATTTATTTATCCTATTTTTCAATCTATTTATATTTGATATTATTCAATATAATATAATTTTATTATTATATTTTTTATATTTAAATTATAGTTTTATAATATTAATATATACTAATTACAATATAAACAAATTTCTGTGACATATAAATATATTTACCAATCTATAATTAAATTTTTTATAATAATATTTATAATATTTAAAGTCACATATAAATTATTTTTAACTGTTATATTTATTTTTTATAGATAATTTATTTTAAAAATAATCAAAAATTTTATTTAATATTTTTTATCTTTCTGTTATATTAAAAATAATTAATTTAATATTTAAAGTATAATTATTTTAAAATTAAATTATATATATTTAATTAATAAATATACGATTCAATAATAAGAGATTAAATTATGATACTTGATACATAACAATAATTTTAGAAACACAAAATAGGCTTATTTAATAAAAAATTATTTATTTTTATCTTTAAATGTTGTACTATATAATTTTATAAGATAAAATAAGATATATAATTTTATTCCTTCAATAATTTTTACCTTAAAATATTTTAAATATATTAAAATTTATTTTTTTTATTAAGAATCTTTATGTTGTGGTATGTATATATACATATTAAATTATTACAAATTAATTATAAGAGTATTTTTAAACTTTATAGAATTAAATTCATAATTTATAAATTCAAATTATATTTGAGTTTAAACTTTTTACTTTCAAATTTAATTTATAAATATTTAAAAGAATATTATAAATCTTTATATAACATATGAAATCATTTTATTAGTAATAATATTAATATATACTAATTAATTTTAAAATTTAAAATAATTTAAAAGTATTTTTAAAATTTATAAAATTAAATTTATAATCTTATAAATTCAAATTTTATTTGAGTTTAATTCTTTTACTTTTAAAATTAATTTAAAAATATTTAAAAGTATATTATAAATCTTTATATAATATATAAAATCATTTTATTAGTAATAATATTAATATATAATAATTAATTTTAAATTTAAAAATAAATTAAATATTATCATATATATTTTATAGAATTATTTTTTATTTTATAATTATTAATTATAATATTATATTATAATATAATAATTTATCCGTGCATTGCACGGATCACCTATAAATCTTAATTAAAATTTTAAAATATATAAAATATCTAAAATTTTCATATGAAAATTTATTTATCTTATTTTTTAATTTATTTATATTTGATATTATTTAATATAATATAATTTTATTATTATATTTTTTATTTAAATTATAATTTTATAATATTAATATATACTAATTACAATATAAACAAATTTCTGTGACATATAAATATATTTACTAATCTATAATTAAATTTTTATAATAATATTTATAATATTTAAAGTCACATATAAATTATTTTTAACTGTTATATTTATTTTTTATAGATAATTTATTTTAAAAATAATCAAAATTTTCATTTAATATTTTTTATCTTTCTGTTATATTAAAAATAATTAATTTAATATTTAAATTGTAATTATTTTAAAACTAAATTATATATATATATATATTTAATTATAAATATACGATTCAATAATAAGAGATTAAATTATGATACTTAATACATAACAATAGTTTCAGAAATGTAAAATAGGCTTATTTAATAAAAAATTTATTTATTTTATCCTTAAATTGTGTGCTATATAATTTTATAAGATAAAATAAAATACATAATTTTATTCCTTCAATAATTTTTATCTTAAAATATTTTAAATATTTTAATTTTTTTATTAAGAATCCTTATATTGTAGTATGTATATATACATGTTAAATTATTACAAATTAATTATAAAAATATTTTTAAATTTTGTAGAATTAAATTTATAATTTATAAATTCAAATTATATTTAAGTTTAAACTTTTTACTTTTAAAGTTAATTTATAAATATTTAAAAATATATTATAAATCTTTATATAACATATGAAATATTTTATTAGTAATAATATTAATATATACTAATTAATTTTAAAATTTAAAATAATTTAAATATTATTATAAATATTTTATACAATTATTTTTTATTTTATAATTATAATATTATAATATTATATTATAACATAATAATTTATCCGTGTATCGCATGGGTTCACTTCCTAGTAATTTAAAAAACTAGAATTTAAATTACACGTGATTAAAGATAAATAGGTAAAAAAATTATTTTTTAATCTCAACTAATTCAAAGAAACCATATTAATTAATGATCTTTAGCTAAAAAAATAATGAACACTAATAAGTAAAAAGATATATATACACACTAACACTAAAAAGTTAATAAGTTTTTTTAATATATTTGTTTAAATGCACAATTAATTTTTATTATTAATTAAAAGACAGAATCAAATTATATGAATCTTGTTTTATTTTGTAATTTTAATTAATACTAAGAAAATGATTTTCAAAGGACATGTTATAAAACTTGTTACCAACTGCCAGCCAAACTCGCAAGACATTGAAAATTTGGCAGACATAAGAGATTGAAAAGCAATTAATACTTGCCATAAAAAAGAAAAGTAATTAATATTAATACTTTTTGTATGAGAAAGAACAAATCAAAGGTCACGCACAAGCAAAAATACGGAACAGACACTGGGCACACACATCCCGAAGACTCTTACACCATCCAACAAGGAGCGTTTCAATATTTGAACTTTCCCCATTTACTTAATTTATCCACTTAAAAAATATTATATAGTACATATTATATATATTCAAGTATGTACTAATGTGTATTTCACTTCCAGATTCAGATTTTCATTTTCTCAATAATTGAGTCCTCACATTTTCCTCAATCATCATTTCTTATTTGCCTTTTCTCTTGTAACTGTCTCAAAAGCTCTTCAGATTTGAATCTCCCGTAGCCGCCAGCAATCGCCATGGCGGCCTCTGGAGCCTGTCTCTTCCCCGCCGCGCTCTTCCGCCGTGAGCCGCTACCGCATGTCAGAAAACCAAACTCCCCACGGATCCCGAGCACGGCTCCTCGCTTCGCGGTATCAGTAGACCGGGTTCCGGTGACGCTGGAGGTGAAGCGCGAAGAAGGAAGCGGTACGGTGGAGAAAGAGAAGCGTTGGGAAGAGAAGGAGGAGAAGCAACAAAGAAACGGTTGGAAGGAGTATTTCGAGCAATCGAAGGAGTTGATCAAACCGGACGGTGGACCGCCACGGTGGTTTTCGCCGCTGGAGTGCGGTTCGCGGTTGGACAATTCTCCTCTGCTGCTCTTCTTGCCGGGTCAGTACTTTTTTTCTTTATGTTTTTTTAATTATTCTAAAATCTTAGATTGCGAGTAAAAATCTATAATAAAAATTTAATATATATTTAAAAGGTCATAATAAAATTTTTATGTATAATAAATTTAAATTTAATTTATATATATCGATAGAATAAAGACGTTAATTATTAATTGTCATATTAATACACATTTAATTTTTTATAATAATTAATATAAGAATTATATAATTTATTTTTATTTTAACTTATTAAGTGTGTAAAATAATATATTAAAATTTAATTTAATTAATTATTATTATTATTATAAATAATAATAATAATAATAATAATGTTATAAATTTTAATAAAAATTTGTTATACTTAATACACGGTAAAAAAATTGTTATTTATTTGTTCGCTGTGATTTGCCCTGTGGTTTTTCTCTTTTCAGTGGTGCTCCAATTTCGTTTTCAGTCGTTTGTTTTTGCTATCTTTCTGCCATGCGATTGTGACCACGTCTAATGTATATCTTAAGTCGCATGTGTTTTAATATAATTTATTATGTATTTAATTATTAGTTTAATTTTGGTATATAATTAGCGTAATTTTTTTTACAATATTAAATCATTAAAATATATTGTCAATTTAATTTTTATATTAATTATTATATAAATCAATAATTATTACTTATGTAGCAAGATAGTATGACTTTTTTATATCATTAATTATTAATATATTTAAATTAAATTCTTTAATTATATTTAGTAGTTTAAAATTAATTTTGTAAATTCTAAATTAAACAAGACATTAAATTCATATTTTTCTGAAATTAAATTTTTTTTCCTCTAAACCCACCTTGGTATCGTCACAATAGTAACGCTGAAAATGAAAACTTAATACACATTTCGAATTAAAGTGAATCTAAAACAAAGCAATTTTGATGGAAAGTTTTCCTCTTTACATATGTGGATAAATTTATCTTTTAAATGCGTAATTATAAATACAAATGTAGAAATTCAATAAAGTAATATTATAATATATTATTTATGAAAATATTTGTATTAATACACATGTATTTATATATATATATATATATATATATATATATATATATTTTAAACTATGTTTCTTTTTTAGAAAAGTTTATACAATTTTAAATATTAGATTAATTCTATGAAATTTTATGTATTGCTAAATGGTAAAATTGAATTTATGGCCAAATCATCTTCTACTAGCGGAAATTCATTAAAATCTGACTGAACCAACTGATTTATTAGTCAGGTGGTGTGTTAACAATTGCATTAAAAATACTATTTCCAAAATATTTAATACTTTTATTAAATATTTTTAATTATTTTAAAAATAAATAGATAAATATTTGTTAATTAAAATACATGTGTTAATTAAAAATTTGTTAACAAATATTTTGGAAAAAAGAGAGTCAAAATATTTATTTAACACATGTATTTATTGTTAATTTTGACTCTCTTTTTTCCCAAATATTTTCATACTTTACGTGTTGAAATCAAGTCTCACTTGCCGAATTAAACGTTCTAGATTTGAAAGCCTTGTCAGATTTCCTTTTAACAACACTTTTTTGAAATTTGTCGTTTACTTCAAAATTTTGAGTGCCATGTAGGAATAGAATTGGATTTATTTTCAAGTATGATTGCCTTTATAAAGGCCAAAATCATGTGTTAATTTCTTTTTGTATGAAAGTATGATAAGGCGAAAATCCCCGAATCAACTTTCAGGTTTTGAGACTCCATGAAGATATTTATGGGGAAAAGTAAGATCATAAAATGGAAATTAGTGGGCGTTTAAGATATATATAAAAATATTACTTATTTTTCTTAATTTATGTGTTGTCTTCTTAAATAGGTAGATATAAGAATAAAAAAAATAAAAATCTATAACTAAACATTTCTCAATACTTGAAATGACACAATGGAAGTGACCCGCAGATATTAAACATAGTTTAAGCTTAAAAGCCACTTTCGATTCTATAGAAATTCTGTAAAGATTGCGTGAGGACAACATAGACACGAAAACAACAAAATTACTTGGACATTAGTGCTCTACGTTTTCGGTGGGAGTCGTTGCTTTTCCACAGTTCATACACGATCAAGGTAATGATACGAAGTATTCAAAAGATTTAGACCAAAAAAATAAAAGACTTAGAAAGATGAGACAAAAAGAAATTTCCTGAAGGCCAACACATGTAACAGGTAATGGTACGGAGTGATGACCCCATTTTTGTTAGGTTTAGCTAATAATATACATTAATAACTCGTCAAGTTTCATTATTAAATTCAATTCAATTTTGTAAACGTTATATAATCACGTTTACGCACAGATGTATAACTTTATAATCTTGAATACAGTTTTGATATATCCCTTGAAAATAAAATTGCATGTGATTCGTTTTGATATGAATAACTTAAATTTCTATCATAATTATTATTGTTATAAAATTAAAAACTAATTAATTTTATAATATTTTATATTGTTATAGACAACATAGTCCTAGTCAACGAATCAAAAGGAAAAGTTAACTTGAATGAAAAGATTTTTGTTTGAGTAGAAATAAAACAATATATGCAATAATATGATGGTCATCTCATTGGTTAATTATGCATGTAAGTATGATGATATTATTATGCAACTCTTTTATGTGGATCATTATTATCAGTAGCTATTTTAGTCATTTTATTTTGAGAACACATACAAATTATTGGTAAAAGCAATAATTTATATTTTTAAATTAATCATTTTGAAATCAAATACATGAATAAAAAACTTTATTTTCTTCTTCTAGAAATTATTACAGGTCTCATCATACATTAGAATTTAAAATTAAAAATGATGTAATATAATAAGTCTTTAAGTTTTGGTATTTAGAATTGATTTTAATGAATGATAGAAAAATTAATGAAGATCTTACTCATAAAATATATAATTTAGGTATATATAGTGTAGAAATACATCAAAAATTATTTGTAATTGTAAAATTTCTATATAGTTAAAAGAAAAATTTTATGATACTACTGTATTATTAATTATTTTATATAGTAGTAAATGTTAAATTTTAAAGAAATAATATAAAAAAAATTATAATTTTGTTTATATAAAAATACTAAGATAGATGAATGATTACTTTATAAAGGACAAGATAAAAAGTGATTATATACACAAGAATATTAGAAGTATCTATTGAAAAAGATTTTAAAAAATCAATTAAATTAGTTAAGACATGTGTAACGAAGGTTGATAGAGGTATTAGGAAGAAGTGTGAATGACATAATTTTTAATCTAATAAAAAAGAGTAAAGAGAATTAAAAGAATTTTAAAAGAAATTATTAAAAAAGAATAATAAATAATATATAAAAATTTATTTTTAAATAAATTTAATAGTGTCATATGATATATGTAACCAACCTCGGTTGTTGAAATAAAGTTTGATTGTTATTGTTATTATATTACAAGTCATTCTCATATTCTTAACTTGATGTTTGCATAACTCTTAGACCTTAAAACTATAAAAAAAAGTTTTCCTTTTTTTTTTCCTATATTTATAGTATTATTCACGAACATTCTAAAAATTAGACTGGTTTGTATACGATTTATTAATTAATAATAACCTAGCTGAAATTAAGTTCTGATCAAACAATTATGATAAGTACATTTTTAATATTATCAAGTTATAAAAATTTAAAATATGCAAAATTTGAAACTGAAGTACCAATGTAATATTATGTCTTCTAAAATAAAAAAAAATTTCAATAATTAAAAGGCTAAATCAAAACTATTAATATGTAAACCTTTACGTGTATCTTTGGTTTAATAAAAAAAAAATCAATTGAAACCGATTTTCCACTTTTTGATTTTATGGTTGGTTTTGGTTGTCTGTCAGAACCGATATTAAGGTTTCCACTGGTTTTGACGCATTCACCAATGTTTCTATTGAATTGATTCACCTGATCTAATATTTAATATTATTATTTATCGTTGTATATGCACTTCATCTAATTAAATATGAAACATTATTCTCTAAAGTGTTGCCAACAAAATTGTACAATTGATGAACAGTCGAGTCTATTGAATATATTTTCAGGTTTTATTCTTGATTATGTCTATAAAAAAGTCTTTGTTAAAAGAAATAAAGTGTACTTTATTCTCGACAGTTCAATAGAAATTAGTGTTAGTTGGAAATAAACTTCTTTCTCAAAACAATAATAAATTTTTTTATAAAATAAGCTAGTATTGCTTTTGCAACATAAACTAAACCGATTACTCAATGCTGCAGTAGACTGTAATTAAGGTCCAGCCAAATTTTCCTGCCATCTTGATCTAGTACACTACCGAAGTTTATCTTCTAAATTATTTATCACCGAAGATTAAAATATATTATCTGTTCTTCATGTCATGATATGAAGCAACAAGGTTACTCATAAATTTATTTGTATGAATTACTTGCATTCCAAATTGACAGGTATTGATGGCGTGGGACTTGGACTTACTTTACATCATCAGAAACTGGGAAGGTTAGTATTAAGTGCACTCTCCAAATTGTTATTTTAAGAGTACACCTTCTAGTTGACGAGATGAATTAAAACCCAAGGGTTATCTTCTAGCTTGATGCTGGTCTTATATTATTATTGACTGATATGTAAGAAATACTCCTTTTGTTCTTTTTTCTTGAATGAAGGATTTTCGATGTGTGGTGCTTGCATATTCCAGTTGCGGATCGAACACCATTTACAGGTCCTACTTTTTCTCTGTACTTCATTGCTCATTGCACTATTTCGTGCTTAAATCGAACTCCCTGACACTAACCATTTGTTTATTCTTTTGTTTTTGCTCCACTTACTGACATGCTTTTTCATAAAATTGATATAAAATGGTGTGAAGAGCATGTTTATTGTGTTGTAAATGGGATCACATGTTTTTCTTTCCCTTACATTTTCATAAAATTGATGTTGTCTTGCAGTGGTCTATTATTCCTGCTTAATTTTATTGTTCTGTATATTTCCCTGTTGCAGACCTTGTGAAAATAGTTGAGAGAACAGTTAGGTCAGAACATCAACGTTCACCTAACAGACCCATTTATCTTGTTGGAGAATCTTTAGGAGGATGCCTAGCGCTGGCTGTTGCAGCTCTTAACCCTGATATGGACCTTGTACTAATATTGGCGAACCCAGGTAACTACTTGGTGAACTGAACTTGAGAATCTCCAGTAGCCATAATGTGTTATTACTTCACTATTTTATGTACACTGTTCTGTAAAGTTTGGCTATTACTACTCTGACATCATAAACATCACTGAAAGTGTGAGCTGAACTTGAGAATCTTCAGTAGCCATAATGAGTTATTAATTCACTATTGTATGTACACTGATCTGTAAACTCTGGTAATTACTACTCTGACAGCGGAGAGCTGTGAGTGTTGAAGAAATAAGTCAAACATTGACTAGAAATTAAAATGTAATATATATCTTTGGCTTGGCATTGGCTTGGGAGTTTAAGTTTTGGATCACATTGGTTGCTAAGTTAACCCTTGTGTATCATCTCATATTCGGCAACAACAAAGAATTGGTGTTAGTTCATTGATATTTTAATGGCAAGCCTGATAATCGATGTAACCAAGCTTTAGCCTGATCACAGTTGTTGCTTATGAATATGGTGGGGTCAAGTGTTTTCAGAATGATGCCATTCATTGACAGTATGGTGAACGTTTGTTCTTTAACTAGTGCTTTAAGTGCAAGTTCCTATACAATATCCCACTTGATTTGCTGTAACAGCACATCAGTTCAAGATGCACAAAGTACCTGATATCACATTCACCACCCAATTTGGCAGCTACTTCGTTCAGCAGGTCACAGTTGCAACTTCTAGCACCATTATTGGAAGCTTTGCCTGACCCACTCTCTCATGGCCTGGCTGACATTCTCAGTTTAACAGCAGGTTTGTTTATCTTGCACAGCAGTTTTTTCTTTATTGGATAGATTGATATGATAGATACCTAATACTGAAAAATGGTAATTGATTTAGAAAAGGGACTACTCTTAAAATACATACATGATGTTGGAAACCTGGGGAAAAGCTCCATCTGTACTTCTGTAGGTTATTTATGTTACTCGATTGTCTCAGTTGTAGGTGTCTGGTTGTTTTCAATGCTTCAAATCATAGGTATAATGCCTTTCTTATGTTCTTTTTTAATTCTTTAGTGAGAAATGTTCATGGATTTTATGTCATCACATATAAATGAGATTTTTGTAGATCTAACTCATTCCTTCCTTTACCGTTTGAATGGTTCATGTCTTTTCTGGTGTTTGTCAATGTTTCTTTCCGTAATTGTTTCCCAATCTGCATTCCTATCATGACATAATATTTAAATGGCGACTAGCTGAACAAAATTTCCCTATTTTTGTTGCTTTTGCTCTTTTTTAACATATATTCATGAATAAAATTTCAGTTAATTAATTTATTTGGCAAGTAACGTAACTTCAATATCTTTCGGAACTTGTGCTAAATTTTCTACTACAATATCCTTAAGCACTGAATAACTTTTAGCTAAAGATCATTTATCATAGATGATAGATCTACGTTCTGTCTTTATCTTTTACCTAATAAAACAAGGCCTTTCTCCATTTAAGCCTTCAACTTTTCTTGTAACATTAGGTGACCCTCTGAAGACTGTGTTGGACAATCTGGTCAAAGGACTTCCTCTACAAAATACAACTAGGGAGCTGGTGGAGGATTTTACTACTTTCTCATCATCTTTGCCTGTATGGTTCAATTTTATTTTATTTTTTTGTTCAAAAAATGAGGAATTCCTATTGGAAATGCAATGGGTGACTTTTTCCTTAGGCTTTGGATATCTGATGCTTATGTGTGAGTACTAATGGCAATGCTTGAGGCATATTCCAGGACAAATCCAAACTGAAAACTGGATAGCTCCTTTTCTTTTCTCTGTTGTAACTAAAATGTTGTAAAATTGGAATATGCTGGGCTTTTGAAGAACATGGATGAACATGACTGCATTTTCTTTAATTTGGTTTGTTGGTGCTCGGATTGAGCTTTCCCTTCATTTACTTTCAATAATGAAATTTTAGTTTTATGGAATTCTCAGGTTCTTGCTGACATATTACCAAAAGAAACACTTCTTTGGAAACTAAAGATGCTTAAGTCGGCTTCTGCATATGCTCATTCACGTCTTTATGCTATCAAAGCTCAGACTTTGATACTTTGCAGGTTTGTTCTCTTTGGCATTGTACACCTTATATCAGTCACAATAATGATATGGAATCATATATACTTAGTTAGCTTTTCACTTTCTGAACACTTAGCAGAAATACTATTCAAAAAACAAATAATAGAGCGAGTGCTAACTGACAATTTCTTGAGCATATTTTACTTCTAAACCGTAATCTTCATGATGGAAACAACTAAATCAAGTAGCTTTTCTGAAAATGCTAGACTTCTAGTTAAGCTTCAATATGTGGAATCTGCTAACTGAAGTATCTCATGATCTATTAACTAGTTACTGATCAAATTCCATGTGTTAATTTGGCCAAGAAATACAATCTTAAATGGTAAGTAATTGAGTTCTATCTAAAACAAGATTACATTACGATGAACCTAATGGATTTTCCATTCCTGACTGTAATTCCTTTTATATAATCTGTGAATTAACTTCAATCGAATAACGAATTTCCATGGTGGATAATAAATTAATCCCGCCTGATATCACATATATACAGCATATTTCAAGTGTATGATTCTTTCTGGAAAGTGAAACTGAATTTTGTCATTTGTCCTTTTAGTGGAAATGATCAGTTACTTCCTAGTCAACAGGAAGGTGAAAGACTAGTTCAGTTACTGCCTAAGTGCGAGCTTCGTAAATTTGATGACAGCGGTCATTTTCTGTTCCTGGTATATTTTTCTCCATCTGCATGCACTTGTTCTGTGTTAGCATTCATTCAGACTGAATGATAGCCATTCATCATGATCCTTTACATCTGATAGGAGAAAAAGATATCAAATATCGGTTGAAATTCTAATAGACCCTAATATGGTGCCTTTTTTCACTGCTAGCAGGAGGGCAGCATTGACCTGGTAACGATCATCAAGGGCACTTCTTACTACCGCCGTGGCAAGTATCATGACTACGCATCAGATTTTATACTACCTACACCTGATGAAAGCAAAAAAGTAATAGAATCAAACAGGTACAGTTAACAGTATCAATTTGATCATATACAAATTACAAGAAACTTTATAGTATGTTTTATGAAGATAGTAGAGTGCAAGGAGAGCTCAAACTATTGCTTAAAATGATAAGTTGCTAGAAAAATTATTGTCTTGATGACTTATATGTCTAGCAATATTTCTTTGTTCATTTTGTTTAACTGGATTGTAGTATAATCAAACTAATTATAACATGGGCATTTTTCGCGCATAATGCTTCCAGTTTGGTTAACCTTGTCACAAGTGCTGTTATGCTCTCGACTTTGGAGGATGGGACGATTGTAAAAGGCCTCGCTGGAATTCCTTCGGAGGGGCCTGTTTTGTTGGTTGGGTACCACATGTTGCTGGGATTAGAAAAGATTCCCCTGGTTACTCGGATTTATAGGGAAAGAAATATCCTTGTTCGGGGGATAGCACATCCCATGATGTTTGTGAGAGCTAAAGATGGAAAATTGCCAGATCTATCTTCTTTTGACTCATTCAGACTTATGGGTGCTGTTCCTGTAACACCAACTAACCTCTTCAAGCTTTTCTCCTCCAAGTCTCATGTCCTATTATATCCCGGAGGCATGCGCGAGGCTCTTCATAGGAAGGTAAATCCCAATAACTAAACTCTTCCTATTACAAGTCAATTGATACTTCCACATCGAATTATGAATTTACTCATTTGGCTCCGTCTAAGGTCTGTCTGTGACTCGTATATTCCACCTTGGACCTAAATGTTGTCAGTAGGGTTAGAGATTTTGTAAAGTGCATGTGAATCTTGTATGAATTGAACGGGTCATTAGTTATCACTATTGTATATTTTAAATTTCACTTAAGTGGAAAAAAAGTAGAAAAAAGAAATTGCATGAAATGCCACGGGTCATAGTCATGCTCTGGAGAACAAAACGACTTTCTCTTTACAACAACAACCTAGCAATACCATAATGCTTTATCATAAACCATGTTTGTAGACAAACCATTGGGCTCTAAATCCTTTTTAATGGTTTTACTTATAGCATTTTTCGGTCTCCTTCCTCCAGCAATTGAGTTAACCTCCATTTAATTTATTTTCCCTTAGTTGGTTTTCTAGTCTTTTCCACAAATGCTCAAACCACCTAAGGCATGCTTCTACGGTTCTACCATCTTTATATAATAGTTGCTATCTCAACTTTCTTTGTAATGTATTCATTCTTAATCCAATCTTATAGTCATCCAAACAACATTCTCATCTCTGCTGCATTGAGTTTATTTTTGTTATTGGCTTTTTACAGTCCAACATTAAGTTCGATCCTCACATAATCGCAGGTCTTAATAGCTCAGTATGATGGACAAAGATACTTAAATTGTGTGACTTGTGATATGGCGTGGACTTCAATTTTCACCTAAGCTAATATTGATACGCCTCCTACTAAACTTATAACTCGAATAAAAGCCATGTGCTTTCAATTATTACTTTCCCGTAATAATCATAAAATTACTTAAGTTAGTTGATTCTGAGATGGTATTTAGTGCATTGGATTTACCAAGCTAGTCTTTTAAGATTTGTGTGTCAAACGTTTGACATGCAATTTCGCAATGTTGGAAGTAAGTGCATCATATTCTTTTCTACTGTCTGGTGCACTTGGCATATGACAACATTTATGTTGGATTATGAAGCATCAAACAATCAATGCAAATGCATGTAGTATCATTCTCACATTCAAACCTATTTGGTAACACTTTTTGAAGAGAAATAATGGCTTTTTTCAATAGCTCTTCAGGAAGCTGCAAAGACAAGAAAAGTGATTACTGATTAGTTTTCAAAATTAACTGAATCGCCCACTTAATGAGAAAATTATTAGGCTTTGTAATTTTTTAGGCGCACTTTGTGTCTGTCTCTGTATGTATGATCTGAAAGACTCGTTTGAAATCTCTAGCATTGTAATTATTCTCAGGGTGAAGAATACAAGTTATTCTGGCCAGAACAATCTGAGTTTGTCAGGATGGCAGCCAGATTTGGAGCCAAAATTGTACCCTTTGGTGCAGTTGGAGAAGATGATTTTGGTCAAGTAAGTACTGGTATTTTCCTAGTCAATCCTTTTCCTTTAAGAAGTTAGTGGCAGTGTGTGATTAGTGGTTATTATGGAAAGCACATTGCTACTGAACTTTCATATTTTCAAACTTTTATACTGTCATCTAATCATGTATTAACTAACATAAAGAGAAAAAGTAAGAGAAACTGAAGTTTTCTATTGTTTAGTTGAAGAGAAAACAAAGGGAAAGTAGAGAAGAAAGAAAACTCCGGGAATTAAAGTTTGATTTTTCTAACATGTACCGCACACAATAAAAATATATGTATATTCAACTATTTAACATGTTTTTTTATCATTGAACGGTCATAAATATTAACTGTAAGCTTTTCATATTTTCTACAGACGTTAGAGATTAGCTACGACTCTAACAGTAACTGAAAACACTCTTAATGCATGATGTCCATCTTTGAATTTCGTTTTCTCCATGGATGCCTTGAATCTGGATTTACCATAACACATCATAGTCACACCACATTTGTCTTTTCAGGTAGTTTTTGATTATGATGACTTGGTGAAGATTCCTCTCTTTAGGTCAGAAATAGAAAGCCTCACAGATGAGGTTACGCAATTGAGGTATCTGAAATTTACACGCCATATTATGAAACATGACTTGTTATATATACATCTTTATTTTCCTTCTTTTCCATCTTCTATAAAAGTATATAAGTATATATTTATATTATTATATATACCTTGTATGTTGTGAAATCTAGGACTGATACTGGTGGTGAGGTGGCAAATCAACAAGTGCATTTGCCTTGGATTTTGCCTAAAGTTCCAGGCCGATTCTACTATTATTTTGGAAAAACATTTGAAACGGAAGGTATGCCAAAGGGATCTTTCACAGCTCGAAATCTTCATGAAATGTGGGGGTAAAAATTATTTCGGTAACGAAATTGATTGTGATATTTCTTGACAGGAAGGAAACAGGAACTAAGAGACAGGGAGAAATCTAAAGAATTTTATTTACAAGTGAAATCTGAGGTTGAGAGATGTATTGCTTATTTAAAGGTGAAACGAGAAAGCGACCCATACAGAAGTATACTGTCTCGGCTATCATACCAAGCCACAAATGGTTTTGAATCCGAAGTTCCAACATTTGAAATTTGATTGTTCTGTACAAAAAATGGTAATTTTCCAATTCATCCAGAAGGGCCTATTTATGTAATTTGCCAATAGTTTCAGGCACTGTTTTCTGGCCAGCGGATATGATTTCTCAGAGATGGTCGGAATACAATTTTTCCAAAGTTTAAATCAATAAGAAGTAAATGCAAATTGGGAAGGAACACAACTAATGTTTTAAATAAAGAATCTTGACGATTCGTGTTTGAAAAGTAGGTGTTAAAGAATTAATGAATAATAATTTTATGATAAAAATTATGTTAAAATGTTTAAAAAACATTACGATAGGTGTATGGACATTTTTTTTAATCTAATTCTGTCATTTGTAATTCTTGGACAATGGCATGAAATCGGAGGTACCTTTCTGAGCTCTAATCTAACTACTCCATCCGATTTTTTTAACGCTAAATCTTTTACACATAAAAAAATTATTGATATTCTAAATTCTATACAAAATTATTACATATTTTTTTATTATATTTTCTACCTAATGAATTGATTATTTTACTTATTGGTTATCCTTTACTAAGAAAATATTAATTATTAAAGATAAAATTACAAAAAAGAATAATTATTTATTAGTTTTATGCAATGACAACTGAAAAATAAACAAAATAAAATTACTAAAATATTAAAAAACGGACAATGTATATTTTTTCTATAAATTGGGGATATTTATTGTATCAGATTGAACTGATGAATATAATAATTCAAACCAAAAGAATAAAAATGTTTTAGATTAGTTTAATTAATTTGTTGATTTTAGTTCATGCCCAAATCAAATCAATTAGAATCAATTTAATTCTTAAATTCATCTTTTTTTAAAAAAAATTAAACTAACTCGATTATATGGTCAACATGTTGGGTTTATATTTACTGTCCAATATCTTTATTATATTCCACATAATAAACCTATTATAGACATATCAATCCAATAGTGATGCCAACTCGATAAATTTCCAGGGGTGTATCAAATTTCACTCAATGGAACTTAAAATATCAATAAATTGACATAAACATCTGCAGTTAACAGTTTTGGAATCGTAGTTTTATTTTATTTTTCTGCCTACCTTCATATTGTGTCCATGAGAGTGTTAGTTGTAATTATAGAATAGAAAAAAAATATTATTATTTGAGGGATAGAATTAATATTAAACAAAAATTTCTTACCAGAATGATGTGACGTTTTTACTTATTTATTTCTTGATAGATGAGTGTTAGTATTTATTACTTTATTTATTTAACTACTTAAAATTTTGCAAAATTCTAACTATTTTATTGTTTTCTTAAAAAAGACTAACTATTTTGTTCTAGTTGCGTAGTTACTCTATAAAATATGAAATTATTAGGCAGACTCTAGCTCCTTCGAGTTTCTACACCTAGATAAAGATCCCAACACAAAATCAACTTTAATATTAGGGTTTTTTAAAATAAAAATATTTGATTAAATTTTTAGGATATAAAAATATTTCTTGAAATGATATAATAATTTTTAATTGTTAATAAAACTAATCCATTTAGGGAGTGCTTGAAATAGTTTTTTTAAAAGATTTGTTGCAAATAGCTTATGATTCATTCAAATATATTTTTTACAATATTTTGATATTTATTGATAGAAATTATTCAAATAAAATACTTTTACCTTATTTTAATTAATTTCATAATCAAATTTATGTCATATAATAAGAGTTTACTAATGAATCCTTAACTAAACTGTTTATTATTTATTGTAAAAATTAATATTTATTCCAAATTCACCTTAATCTATTTGAATAAAATATTATTAATTTATATATCTTTAAAAACTATAGCATGATTAAATAAAGATAATTTAATATATTTTTCTTTGAATAATAGCTTTAATATTAATTTTTTTCACTTCACCAAATATATTAAATAAAGATAATAGATAAGTAAGGATGTTATTAACTTTCTGTTATAATCTTATGCAATGATAGACCTTCGTGACTTTTGCTTTCTATAGAAAAAGTGGGAAAAAAATAGTGATCATATGTTTTCTGAAGTATCATTTTAGGAAATAAAATGTAAAATTGCTGTCAATGATTATAAAAATTAGCAACTGAGATTAATATAACACACAATTACTATACACATGCATGCATTTAATTAATTAAACTTCAACAATTAATTTTCAACCAATGTCTCTAACTCTTTGTTTTAAAAGAGTCAAATCATAAAATGACTAGAAACCTTTTTTAATAAAAAAATATTGAAGTACTCTTTATAAATTAATATTATTTTTAAAAAAATATTATTGGTAAGTTTTTTTTTTAATTCATCCGTAAGCAAAAATATTTTAGGTAATGGACATGTGTTAATGCAAATGTCAAGATTTTATTTTCAACTTGACTCCTTCCTATCTATTTCTCTCTCATAGTTTAAAACTATAAGAAATTTAAAGAAACACTTCTTTAAAGAAATTGACTTTATTTTTATTTAAAAATATTTCAATGATAATATATTTACTTTTTATCTATATTATCTTAATTCTGTTATACTTATTATTACAAAACTATCGAAGAATTCCCACCAGCACAGTTCTTAATTGATTATATTTTCATATGACATTTAAATGTATCAATGCTTTTCATATATAATCACCAAGCACCATAAACATATTGACAAGGAAAATAATTTGAACACATTAAGTAAATTTTTATTCCATTCTTACAAAAATTATCGAAGACTGGATCCATTATTAATTAGATATTGAAACATATATAACCTGATTATCAAACTAATAATCTGATGCTTAAAGGACGATCTTCAACAGAACTTAATCATTAACCAACAAAAAATAAAGTTTCAAATAAGACTGTTAAATAGAAAATTTAAGCAGCACTATCATAAAGTTTTGTAAATACATAAGGATCTGATACACATGCAGGAGAATCACATTATTTTAATACGAATTAACCATCATAGATGTGATGTCGAGGTCCTGGGGAGGATGATTGACTGATTTAGGGTTTTCATTGTATATTGGATACAGCGATTACGTTTAATAACAATAATAATGGTCCTGAGTTGATTGATAGCAACAAGTTGAAATAAGTGAAGTTATGAATAAAGTCGAGTCCCATGAAAAGCTAGAGTATGTCGTTTTGAAATGCTAGGAGAAAGAGCTATATCTAGCTTCATAATTTGGCTACAATGAACTACATCGACGAGGTCCCTCGTAAGGCTTTAATAATAATAATTGCACAAAGAAAACACCAAGGTCTCATCACACCCTCTTTTGAGTAGGAATCCACTTTACTTGATTTGAAACCATTCTCATCTCATGTGTTTTACTTCCCCCTTTCAGCTAATCAACAAAAGATGAAACTCCTCCTTCACCAATTCTTTTGCCAAAAGGGAAATTATACGAGAAACAGAATATATGTTAGAGATAACACTAACACACATCAAACCAATACACTCTTTCACTCGTCAATATCCATAATTCTCTCCTTAACCCAAACTCCATCAATCCCTTCCAAATCAATCACCAAAATAAATAAAGATGATGGACGTTCATATCAATCACCCATTATAACACTAAATTATTTTTCTCACACGCACTTATACTTATCTACTCGACTCACTCTCTTATATAACCATATTTTGCAAACTTAACAATATACAAGACAAGTTTCTATACGTAATTCGTATAAAACTTGGCTCCTAGTACGTATAATCAAACTTTGCTACTAATAATGTTCACCGTGTGCAGTGCAATGCACTGAATTGTAATAATAACTTTGCCAATTCATAAAATGTACGCGTCTATACTTTGGTTATAATCCAAATATTCCCCGGTTCGCGATTAATGTAGACGTTGTTTTAGCACATATTTGAACATGATGTTTGTGTGTAAGTGTAAATGAATGGGCGTATAGTAGCTAATTTCAAAGAGAGAGAGAGAGAGAGAGAGAGAGAAGATGAACAGTAAAGAAGCTAAAACGAAGCAAAATGGCATTAACCTAAGAGTTAAAACAACAAAGAAAAATGCTACTATAAATAAAGGATATTGAAAGTGAACAATACCGAAAGTCTAAAAGATTAGTAGTAGCTTGAGAATTGAACTGAACCTAGCACTTCATAATTAAACTAAACCACATCATTAACTCCTTTCTCATAAAAACTAACAAAAAGAGAGAGAGACCCCACTTGCATATTTGTAACCTTGAAAAAACAAAAAGAAAGAAGAAACTAACTTGGAGAATGTAAAGCTTAAAGAAATAAAAGAAGGGGTTTAAAGGCGAAGGGTGAGGTCGAGGTTGACATGTTCAGAAGCATCAACAGAAGCATTGTGTTGAGGGGTGGAAGTGGATGAGGCGGCATGGAAGGGAAGAGAGAGAGTGGCGGTGCTTGCAACGTGGTGATTCTGAAAATGTAGAGGTTCCACATCGAGCCAGTAAGGGTGGTGGTGGTGGAAGAAAAGCCCATGAGGAGATGGGGCTTCGAGTTCCGGAATGGCCTTGAGCTTGGGCTTGGGCTCAGTGATCTTAAGAGAAGGCTCCAAAGACACAGGCGAAGGTGGTGGCAGTGGCACGGTGTTGTTAATGTTGTTGTGGTGAAAAGGGACGTTGGTTCTTCTTGCTGCGGCTCTTTCAAGCTTGTGAGCATTTTGGTGCCCACCGAGGGCTTGTGAAGTGTAGAACATGCGGTGGCAAAAGTGGCATTGGAAGGTTCGGGTGGAGGATGAGGGTGGTGGTGGGTGTGGTTGTGCTCTCTTTGCAACCGAACCTTTTGAGGGCTGCTTCAGGAACTCGTAGATAGCCGCAGGGTGGTCTGCCATAATTCTCTGAGAAAGAGTGTGTGTTGCGTGAGAGAGAGATAAGAGAGATAGAGAATGTGTGTTACTGAGCAGAGAAATGAGAACGTTGTTATATATAATGTGGGGGTTTTAGTGGTTTATTCTTCTTCTAAGTTTTGGTTTGCATCTCAATAAGCAACCTCCGTGTTCTGGGGGCTCACCCAATATGATTCGTTCACATATGAAATTACCCATTTGTCTACCCTCTTTGGATACTATCATTGGGACAGATATTTCTTTCATGACTCAGCTTAAAACTCACTAAAATGAAAAATTAATATATAAAATTTAGTCACTCTACTTTTTAACTCTTTAATCAGCATTTCAAAATTATTATTTAGCAAAATTTTTAAGTTTGTTATAACATGTTCTACCTTACCATTGCTAAAATCACCTTGTTATCCATATTATCTACTTGTTAACATATCAATGCATCATTTTTTCGAAATAATAAAATTGTGCTTTTATTTTTTAACAAGGCAATGTAATGTAATTGTAACGTTATAGCTAATGGACAAAGACTTGAACTTTCCGTTGCTGATTGCAAACTATGGCACATAATATAACTTAAGTGACTTTGTTCACTCATTATTTAAATGGGGTGGAAGTAAGAGGAATGAAAGGAGGTGAGGTGAGTGATATGGAGAAAAGGACAAGAAGAGGAGAGCATGAGAGAGTGCAGTTAGGGGCAGTGTATGGATGAGAGAGCGTTTGCGTCTGATACTGACACCACACACACACACACACACTCACTGGCAACTCTCTCTTTTCTCTCCTCTCTTTATGCGACACCACACCAATACGGTTAGGGCATCAGCTACGTTACTCTCGTCCTAGGGGCCACGTATGATTCGACCACCCTTCCAATTCCAATACACCATTTCCCTATTTCATTTTTATTTTATCACTATCACTTTTCATTAGATGACCCCTTAATTTTATTCAATCACTCTCTTTCCCTAATAGGTTCGTTCTATGATGTTTTAAGCCTCCAAATTGCTCCTCTTTCGTCATCACTGCTTTGCTTTGCACTTCAAATAACGGCATCATGCACTCCTTTGTTATGGTCCTATCAGAACCAGATAGGACGCATAAATATGTCATTTCACTCATTCATTACTACAAAATGCTCATAACACTCCTTATACTTTCAAATACTCCACAATCAAATTCATGTTAAATATAATGATAAGACAAAATATTTTTAATAATTAAAACTTATAAGTATATTAATTTATTTTATTGGTTAATATAATATTTTTATTTTAATAATATATTTTAAATAAAATTATCTATTTTATAAAATTATTTAAATAAATTTTGAAGCGGAAAATATTATTATACAATAATATAATATAGGCATAAAATAATCTGTAATTGTTATACTACTATTCTGGTTAACGACAAAATACTGTTTATTTTTAATAAAATGTTTTGTATTTTTCCCCTTTTAAGAAAACATTTTTTTTTCTTCATATTTTTGAATAGTTTCTATCTTTTTTAATTAATCAACTTAATCATCTAAACTAAACAACTTGATCATGGTAGATGATAAAAATCACACCCAAACTCAATCAAACACTTCTAATTAGTTTGGACAATTTTTTGTATAGCCCAAATAAATCCAGTCCAATAATGTCCCTTCTTCAATTAAAATCAAACATAGTAAGATATTTATAGTTTGTGTGATGAAGGGTAAAAAAACATAGCTATAACACATTTTTCAGTTATCAATTAAAAATTATAATATATATAATTAATCTGTTATGTTCCACTGAGTTCAACGGTCCTCGTGATTTTGCAACTGAACTTCCTGCCTCACTACAATTTCAAAGGTTCTCGTCTTGATAGACTCAAAATTCTAAAAATTGAAAATGGCTATTTAGCAAACTTATGTTCAAAATTCTAAAAATAAGCTATACAAATGGTTTGAATCCATGTTATAGATTTAATTAAATTAATTTAAGAAAATTTAAATTTATTTATGTTTTAAATTTAATGATTCAAATTCTATATTTTAATGAATATAAGACGAATTTATAAAGTCAAACTATAAAATACTTGGTTTTTGCTAAGTAAAATAAATATAATATATTTATTTGAAAAGATCTACATGTGTATCAAAATATTTTATATCTTGTATTTAATTAGATACCAGAACAAATAAGCTAATCACATAATTTATATATATTATTATATAAATAAAGTATATTAATTTAATAATATTTTTTGTATTTGAAAATAATTATGTATGGTTAAATATTATTTACTATTTATAATATTAAATATAAATAGTTTTATATTTAAATATTATAAATCAAATATTAAAAGAACTTATAGGACACACAAGAATGAGCTCGTTAGAAAAGTCAAATTTTATTTAAATTAAAATTATTACTTAATTAAGTCAAACTCATAATAATTAATGAGCTTAAATATTGAACCATGCTCATAAGAATTTTTATTTTTTTTTTCTATAAGAGCATATTACATAACCTTAGAGTGTGTGGCTCCACTTACTTATATGCAATTACTACATAGCGATAATGAAAGACTTTAGCACCTTTGTTTGTGTGAATAATTATTGAGATATGGCTATAACCTCCATGTTTGCTAAACCCAAATAATTATGAACCAAATTTGTGTGCATATGTTTGCTTTGAAACTATGGTAGTAACATGAACATCTAAAAATTCTTATGTTCAGCTATTATTAACATATATATATTAATCCTATCAATTTTTTGACAAGTTAAACTCGTGTTAGATTATTAACTGTAAAAAAAATATTGACAATATTCTTTAAAATGTACACTTTGAAAAGATATAAAATAGTTACAGTATGAGTACTTTAGATATTAAAATGAATAATTACAATATTTGAAACATCAAATATCAAATAGTTTTGAAAGAATATTTAAAAACTTGATTTTATAAAATTATATTTAAAAATAAATTTTGCTTGAAAATTGTTATCCTAACAAGGTTGTGCTAGCATTATTTTGTAAAATTTTCAATTCACACACAAAAGTACATCCTTTTTATACTTTTGGTCTAACATTTCTTCACGAATAATGCAAGTTTGATTGGACTTAACTGTGTGTTTGAGGGATTTGAATTCACTTTAGTTCATTCAAGAATTAAACACTTTTGTTTTTGTTTAAACAAAAATTAAATTCTTTTTAGGGAGCAAGAGGTGATGAGAAAGAGCCAAAGGTTCTGTTTTTGTTTAAACGAATTTAGATTTGTTTAAATAAAAATTAAATTGATTTGTGTTTAGACGAGAATATACAAATTTGATATTAAATAAACTTGATTTTATAAAATTAATTTTACTTAAAATAAATTATAATTACATGTTTAGCTTTGCATTTAACTACTTAACAAGTGGATTTTTAAGTTAAGAGTAGCTTATACATTCTAAACCACTTATATGTCTTACTCATCTGAACATTAAAACATGTGCTAAATTAATATTTTATACTTAATTTAAAAATTAACAAATTTTTAACTTAACAGTTACAAATTATCACTTCTATTTAGAATCAAAATCAATTTTAATTTAAATATACTAAATATAGTATAAGAATTAAACCATATTAATATATATTTAATTTGATTTTAAATCTTTACTTGTTTCTAAAAGAGCAGCGTCAAAATTTGTTTACTTTTTTCAAAAACTCAAGTTAAAAGCTTCAACCACAATACAACATGTGTGAGGTACTAATGCAAGTTTAAACTTACACTAAAATTGTTGTAAAAGTACATACTCATTAATAACATCCTATTAAATTGTTAAAAAGCTATTCAATCATTTTTCTTTTAACTAACATGTACTAGATTTTAATCTTGTCTTATATTAAATATTACTCTTTCTAATTCTTTTTTATAAGAAATAAAATAAAATATTTTCTTAATTCTAATTATAAAAAATATAGAATAAATTTAAAATATATCAATTACTAAATTTTTTTATACTATTTTTTATTATTAAATATATATTTACAAAACAGTTATTACACTATCTACACCATATAATATTATAAATATTTTTAAATAAAATTTATACTTATAAAAACATAATTAATTCAATTATTTTCTTTAATCTCAATAATTTAATCTTTTATTTTTTATAAAAAGAACTGAAAGAGTACTTAGTATTAATATGTTAAGAAAATTATTAATTTAAGTAGTTAGTACAATAAGATAATTGATTCCATAAAAACACTCTTTCTAAACGTGCTAAAATTATTACAATAAATAAATGATCACTTTAGTATTTAGCTGGATAAACCTATTTTTAATAAATAAAAATATTATTTTTTAAGATATATTAAAAACACCCCCTTTTCTTTAAAGATACTAAGAAAGCTAATCCATGAGAATCAACAATCTATTGATTATATAGCTAGTCATCAATCAAGACATCAATACCCAAGGAAAAAACGAAGATACCAACGGAATTTCCACTCATATTACGAAGTCACTAGATAATCCTTCTCTTTTCTTTTCTTTTCTGTTCTCTTTTTCATTTAACACGATTTTGATAGTCACCACATGCACTTCTTAAAATGCATCTTTGGGTCTAGAAAACAATATAAAGTGTGGGGTAATCAAGTTCCCCTATGCATTTCAACATCCGGTTTTCATGTTAACTTCTTAGTTAATCAGCAATTGAAAATAGTTAACCCATTGAATTATTGAAATTGTTTATTTACAAGGGGGAAAAGGGTTAGTGCCATTTTTCAAGTGGACATGACTCAAGTGAAGACAAACTTGTGATTATGTACAAGTGGGTCAGCAAAAGCAGCATACTTTTTTCAAGGAGGTAATCTAGAATTTTCAGTTGATGTCAAAGTATCTCGGATCTTCAGGGAAATGGTATTCCACGTTCAACTGCCAAATAAACCAAAACAAACAGACCTTGTCAGAGACTATGTAGACCAAGAAATACAAACAAACAGATACACACAAACCAAGACATCAACTATCTTATTATTCTGCCTGCATCTGCAGGAATCAGAGCCAGCATGTAACACAGTTCAACCTTACAGATAAAGGTGAAATGATTAGACAAATTTCATGACTATCATCTAGCTTGGATTCAACGTTGCTGATCAGCAAAAGAATTAACTTGTTCCAATGCACTAAACTGGCTTTAATTTCAGGACACGTTTAGATAAATAACTTAATTAACCGTTTATTCAATAAAAAATTATCTTCAAGTAGCTTATGTCGAGCACTTGATTGAACAAGCTTATTCTAATAGGTTAAACTTTATGAAAATGACTAAAGACCCTCTTATAAATTCTTTCTGACTTAATCAAACCACTTTTATTTGTAAAGCTTAAACAAGCACTTTCTTGATGTAATTTCGTAGTGTCAGGTTTGAGCATCAAACATAACACCCAAGAAATACAGGGATATAAAGGACCATTTGCTTGATTACTTTGTTATGTAGAAAATGTCACAACTTAAAATGATAACAACGTCAAAGCCTCATTGAGTTCAGTCAAAAACCAAATTTTTAGAGATAATTAATAAAAAAATAAACAAGAAAAGTAGGTCGATAATTTTCTGCATGCAGTCTGGCAGTTTTAGTATGGCCCTGAAAAGGGAAACAATCATAAGGTAAAACTACAAAAAATAGGCACTTACCTTGCCCTCATCAGCATCTGAATGACGCTGAGGGAACACAACCCTCAAATCATTACATAAGTAGAATCTCCGTTCCCCATCCATGTCCAATCCAGCTTTTTCTGGAAGAGAATTATGTTTGCATTTTTGAGCTGATCTATTGGTCTTCTTGGGGAAAGGACAAATAAAGCGGAGGTGAAGTGCATAACGAAGGGGGCCACCACTATTAGAGTTGTCATTCACCTTTGAACAGGAATGAAATGATTTCCCTAATTCATCACATGTTTTATCCCAACAGCTTCTTTCATTCCTCTCACATTCATCAGTAATACATTCATGATTAAGCTTTGTTGACGTGGGGACTCCCAACATTTTCATGTTTGGAGATTGCTTGGAAGAATCCTCTTTGTTTAATAAACTCAACAATCGAGCGCCATTTCGATTTCCTTGATTTGTAGATTTCGATTTATTTACAACATCAACTGCATCTGTGTGCATTAGTTCTCCACTACTAGCCATGTGATGATTCTTTTGTATTGATGGAATCCCCTTATCGACTCCACTGTTAAAACCTGTTGATCTCTGTTTCAACTGAGGAGAAGTGGAGCCGGATGATTCAAGGGTGACTTTTTGGCGCATGAATGTCTACTCGGATATATAACAAGAAATCAGAAATTGATAAAGAAAAGTAAATAACAATATAATTATAGGGCACTCAAATTAGGGAAATATTCATAAATGTGAGTTTTTCAGAGAAAAAGGAGAGAGATTAACTCAGTTCATGACCTAGTAATCCACTAGGTTATGCAAAAATTATAGAGAACATCATTGGAAGTCTTATGTCTTTATTTTTATTGAGACAATACGTTTGATCTAAGTGGAAAAAACATTGTATTTTAGTAAAAACAGGAAAGGATAACAGAAAATGTTTTCTCAATCCAAATAAGTCACTCAAGATGTGTTTGAATGTCTAATGGTGAGTGAAATAATATGGAATATGATAAAAAATTAACGTTCCATTACTTGAATATTTTCATGATAGAAAGGAAAACTGATTCCATCCCACACCCCTGAAATGAAGGGAAAGGAGAGTATTGGATGGTAATGGTATGGAATGGAATGGAAGGTATTCAGTTAGGTTCCATTCCATCATATTTTCAACAATCCAAACAATTTAGCCTAGTATGTCATATCATTCTGTTTTATTCCACTCCATTCCATCCCTTTTGTTAATCCAAACATAGTCCTGTCATTTGACATTGGCAAATTTGAAGCAATTTTCATTTGACACAAACATAATTGAAAAGAGTAATGGTACACTTTGGTCCTCCAAAGATGTGTCATCAATGTTATCAACAGAAAATGATGGGTCATGGCGGACAGCCAAAAAACTGCTATAAAATTATGGCAGATGCCATGACAGCTTATGGCAGTTATAATAAAATAGTATAATATAGATATTATATCTACAAATATATATATAAAACACTACAGGTCCCAGTTTTCTGGGCTGTGTAAAAAAGGATAATACCATGGCTGGAAAATAATGGAAAAGAGAACACAGCCTTTGGAGAAGATGTAGCCTGAGTGAGAAACAGAGCACTGTTTAAAGAAGAAAAACAGAGCACCAAAAGAAGCAAAATAGACACACAGAGTGACAAATAGAGCACTGTTAGAAAGAAAAACAGATCATGGAAAAGCAAAACGGAAAATAGATGCCGATAAACAGGCCCCTCCACTCACAGTCCCCTGGAAAACAGCCAGAAAGGATGTCTTCTCTGGCAAAAATGGTGAAGGAGAATTTGGCTTCAAAGAGAAGGGAGAAAAACAGAGCACGAGAGAGAGAGAGAGAATAGGTATAGTAGAAGGAAGTTTGCTTGAGAAGAAGTTTAAGTGGGACAGAAAGTCCATTTTGCCCGTAAAAAAGGCCCAAATGCACTGTAGCAGGGGCAGAATCACACTTTCACTCCCTTTAAATCCATCAAGCTTTGAAAACAAGCACCCATGCCGAAAATTCGTCTATTGGCACAACCTTCACAGCCGAAAAACACTCCACGACAAGAAGTATTTTTTGGCCAACCACCGCCAAGAGCGGCGCTATTGATAAGTATGCTTTGGGGTTCTTGGGTCACTTTGGACCGGGTCAGGTTAGAGGTCCATTTTGTTCTGCACTCTCCCACTCTCAACCCCACACCCTCTCTCACCTTCACCTCTCACTGAGGTTGTTTATTTTCAACACTCCCTTCTCCTTGTTCCATATCCCCGGAATGTGTGTATTGTGTAGTGTTTTTATCTTAATTTGCTTAGTATTTACAATATAGTTGGTGGGTTGGATTGAAATTAAAATTGGGATAAGGCTTATTGTTGTTGAAGGACCAATTTGATGTTTCCAACAAATAAAGGATCAATACAATGATACCTTTGGAGGACAAAATGGGCATTTACTCTAAAAAGAAATTGAATGTGATCTTATATTAATTTAGTTCAATCATTTTCAAAACATGCAGCATAAATATCTACTTAAAAAAGAAGCCAGTTTATGAACCACAGACAAGTATCAACATCTCAACCAAGAAGGAGAACTTGAGTCTTCATAACCATAGAACCTCCCATTTCAAATTATCCATATATCCACTACATAATTATCGAACTCCTATATATATGTATCATTCACAGACAGTCACCAGACCTATAGTTGTGCTCAACACCATAGTCTCAAGGTGTGGTGGGCTATGCTATGTACCCTTAAGTTATGGCTTACAAGCTTTGCCTCAGTATCCCTATTACCACCAGATCCTCATTAACAATCATTATAAAATCCATATAAACAAAAATTTGGATCTTAACGTATTTCTGATTCTAATATTATTAAATAATAAGGGAATAGATAGAAATTTTGCTACTAATATTGCCAATATTAATTAAATGTGTATAGCTTAGGCCTGATCAATACTAGGCAAAAGAGCATGTAAAACTTCCAACTGAATATGGATTTAATACGCTTTTTCTGTAAATCAAACCCACACCAACTATTTTCCTTTTAGAGAAAATGAATTACATCCACCCTCCTGCTGCCAAAGGAACTGGCAGCTAAGCACTACTTAGTCCTTAACATTTCAGTTTCATTAAATTTCTTCTTTTGGAGAGAGAGGTCATACTATTTTATGTTATGTTACTTATGTTTTGGTAGTACTTTGCTTTTTAAGACATAGTTTTCATTAGGCTGTTTCCTCTTCTGTGTTTCAATACTTCATTTGAGTATTTCAATGTTGCTATGATTTTACAATGGATCTAAGGGTTGATTTACAATTAAATCTTATTACCAGATTCTGGTTTTCCTTTTTCAAATTAAATTATTCTCAGCCACCTTCATGAGGCAGCCACCCTGCCTAGCAATATTAAAATGAGGCACTTTCTAGGGTTTCCACCTTTATGCACCTCTCATCTAGTGATAACACTCATCTTGGGGGTTCAAAGCTAAAATTAGCAATGTCTGAACAATTATGCAATTAGAAAGCAGAATGTCCACATCAATTGAATCAGAGATTCAGCCGCACTGACAAATCTTACTTTGGTACCAGCTGGCATGTCACTCAAATCATAGTTGCAAAAGAAAGTGTGAAGGGGAGTCTTTTCTGGATTGCTCAGCACCTGCAGAGTGCAATCAAATGTAAAAGTAAGGTATACAAAAGATGCCAATCTGCACAAATATCTTGAAAGTGGAAGCTCAAAATCTGAATATGTAAACAATACTACAAAATGAGAATAGAAGAACATAATCATAGCTTATATGTTTGGTAGAAGGGATTTATGGCGTAAAGAAGGCAAAGGATTGATGAATATGTACTGATGCCCAGTCCAAGCACAAAAATCCTTTCCCTTCTCTTCCACCTTAAACATTCTAACCAACATTGCACAAATGAAGATATGCCTGCCTATATATTGAAAATGAAAGAAAGCACTAAATTCTCATCAACTGAGCTGATGAAAGGTCCATTCTCTTGGTATCAAATCAAAATAAATTTTGCCCCCAAAAATTATATAGATAGTTTTTAGATGTCTCCCTTTAACTTGGAATAGAACCAAAATATTTTTTTACTACTAATATTTTTTTTCCAAAATGTTTGTATTTAAAACAAAATTAATGACCGAGGCCACAGATCAGTTCATGGACAAAATTTTTTTTTTTTTAACTTTAAAAATAGTAAACATTTTAAAAATATTTTTAATCATTTACGCAGGTAAACAGGTTGGCCTACAAACCCACTAACCAAACCCATTTAACCTGCATAGACACACAGCTAAATGGATTAAGATTTTGCTGGCCCAAGCCGGTCCAGGCTGCAGGTTAAGCAAACTGGTCTGCAAGCAGAAGCAGAACATATGTTACCTCCCTTAAAGTTAAGGGTACCATACTATCCCTGCAGATATGACAGATTCATCTGAGGGCACTCAGATACAGGTGTTAAAATTTAGAAGCTAAAACAGTGAAACAAGTATATCAATACCAGTTGAATCCGTCCTTTCATTGGTATACGCAAACGGCTTTTTACAATTTGTGAATCATCATTTTTAAGCCCTCGCTTCAGCAATTGACCTCTAAACTTGTTTGTTGAAGAATTTCCGGCGAGGTCGATTGATGCATAATACAGTAGATAACAGTCTCCATCGACACTAGTAACAGAAAATGGAAGCTTCTGTGATTTAGGAGAGAAGTTCCCCCCAGTAATACTTAGCACAGCAAGAAAACCATCGATTTTCTACAGATAATAAGAACAGCAACAAGCAACCACAGGTCAGTTGTTTAAAACTTCACAGTCTACTGGCAATTAGAATTATGAACAGGATCAATTACTGTATGGTAATTAGGATATATACAGACCTTGCTATTGTTTCCAGATAAGAACCGGCCAGATAAAAGAGACTCCTCAAATGAACCAACCAAAGACCTTCTGACAGAAAGCCCACTCAAACTTCTAGTGAATCTCATGGAATGAAAGGTGGGAGCTGATTCTTGAGATAGAGGCCAACTCGCATCAGCAATATCATCCAAAGAAGATGGACAGAAATCTTGGCACAAGAATTCAACATCATCAAAAGATTTTCGTGCAACTCCTGAATCGTCATCATCCTTATGATTTAGCATAAGGCATGTGTTAGAATTGTCAAGTGATTGTTCTACAGTCCTTAAAGTTATATTGCAATTCTTTATCTCTTCAACGACATTCCTACATCCTCCAGCAGTTTTTATTCTTTCAGAAAATTTAGGACCAAGAGGTGACAAGGAAAGAGAACTCGTGTTTTTAGGAGATACAGATATTATGCGACTTTCAGATCTAACCTGAGTTGATTCCTTAAAGTGATCAATTCCAGCAGTGAGTGAACCACCCTGTGATGGTAGTCCTCTATTTTCCTTCAAAGGATCATTAGTTTGAAAAACGGACTCTGTACTATGTGGTGGTGTGTTTCTTTGCTCAAAGCAACTTATCAAGGACCAAGAAGGCATTGTATAACTGTTTTTACTTCCAATATTTGCCTTCTTATTATCCTGTGTGATGGAATTTCTAACATTATCATTCTTGACAAGGGCACCACTCTCATTAATTCTGCCACTAATGTCAAGAGGATCACCTTTAAAATGACTTGGGGAGAGCATACTGCTCAGTGGAGATAAAAGTCGCTTCCTGACCAATGAACTGGCAGATTCAGTGTCATTCGCCGGGACATTAGTAAATGCCGAAGAATGAACATTTGCAGCTGGGATTTCAGACAACCCATCAGTTAAAGTACTTGTTCGGCCTGATTCAAAACCAACAACCCTTGAAACAGGAACATGAACACTTCGTCCACTTTTTGAAGCAAAAGGATTACTTCTATCTGTTGAACCAATCTTCAAACTGTGGACATTGGAAGTGACTTCCATGGCTCCTTTATAAATCGTATTATCAGAAACATTTGAAATCTCTAAGGAGGCATTCTTTGGAAAATCATCAAATGAAGATCCCAGAGTACATGCAGCCAGCCCACTAGTGTGTACACTGTCCATGCTGCTTAAAGCAGAGGGACTTGCATCAGAAAACTGCGGTGAGCTATTTAAAGCTGCACCCACAAGTGCAACCTTTTCTGCAGTTTCACTACGGAGTCTCTGTGGCAAGCCCATCACTAATATTCAACGCAGTAATGCAGATCTGACCTTCCTAAAGAGATGAAAAACTAGCTTGGAAATATCAATGTGATCCCTCACCCTGGTCTTAAATGTTCATTTCACCACTTTCCCTTTTACCAGAGGATCATGGTAAGACATACATGATACAACCATCAACTACCAAGTACAATCCTAGCTTCCACCCTACCAGTTTCACTATTCAATAATTCATGCTACCTATCAGCAACTACAATTGGAATGCTATCATCCTGATCAAGTAATTTTACACCTACAAGAATTTCAAACTGTGTTATGTATCCATCAGAGGCATCCACATTTGAGACATTACAACCATCATTTCCTTTGCAGGGCATACAGAGAAAGTCCAGGACATGATGATATACATCCAAGAACTGCGACAAGAACAGATCTCTCGACCTCCGTACTGGCAACAGATGAAGCCCAAACAATTCATGATGTGTAATAGAATCAGTGCCTATGCCTGCTGAAACAACATTTGAATGAACACATGAATCACAAAGCCACAAAAGAAGCACAAAAAAACACATACATAGCTCACAATTTTCGCAAGCACCCCACTTCATTGATTATATTTGATATCCATATTTTCGATTGGCAAAAGATTCATATTCAATAATAATTAAAAAAACTAACTACACAAAAGAAAATTTTGGTCGAGGATGGAATCGAATCCTGACAATCAACAGTGGGGTGGAAAAGGAAATAAGAGTTAATATAGTTGAAAATAACTCAGAGGAAAATTTAAAAATAAAATTTGAAAAAACCATCAATCTGAGAGCAAATTTTCAACTGAAGTAAGATTAATCAATGGCCATATACAGAAGGGTTCGTTTGAAGCGATCAATATAGAGAAAAAGAAAAACGTTGATTAAAAGAAAATGAAAACGCTGACTTGATAGACACACATTCACCGAAAACCCCTCAAAGCTTTTGAGTTGTCATCAACCACAAGCAACGCTCTTATTTTATTTTTTATTTTTTTCCCTCTAAGCTGTTCTTAAGCAGACCCGGAAAAAATAAAAATAAAACCCCAGAAACAAAAAAAAGCAGCAGTTTTGCAATAACCCCATAAACCCCAGAAGAACAAAAATCAAGGAAATAAAAGAAAAATCAAACCAAGTCCAAAAAGATTTACGACGATCAAAAGCAAAAAAATTAAAAAAAAAAAAACTGAAAAAACGCACCAATGAAGGCTTGTAAGAGAAGAGTCCAGAGGATAAATCATATCAATAACCTTCTGCAATTCAACCTTCAGATCAAATGAAAATAATCACCCCAACAAATAAAAAAGGGCAGAAAAGTGAAAATTAAGTAGAAGGGTGTTCCCAAAAATGAAAAAATATATATATTTTTTTCTTATTTATGCTTTTGGTTCTTGGAATTGCAGAAGGTGAAAATGAAGATTAGGGTGTGTGAGTTAGGTGTTGGTGTTGGATTTTGGGGGTGAAGTTGAAGGAAGAGGCATGTGTTTGTGTGTCCACAATAGCATCAGTTTCAATGTTTTTAATGACAAAAAAATGCAAACCTTAGCCTTATCATCCCCACCGCAGTGTCTGTCAGTTTGCTTTACCGTCAACATTTTTATGTAATTATCTCTTTGTAAACCAAATAAAATCCAAATTAAAACTCTCTTAATTATGCTATTTTTCCGACCCCCCTAATTACTGTAAGGAAAATGAGTCCTTTTGACATATAAGAAAGATTGGAAGTAACATGCACACGATATATTTTTTTTAAACATCTCTAAACTTTACTTTAAATACTTTACTTTAAATAGGTCTGACATCTAACTGACCTGTTATTTATTAAAAACTTTATTTTAAACTGATTTAACTTATTTGAGTGGCTTAACCTGAAGTCTATTACAAAAAAATATTTTAATATTAATAAAAATATAAATATTTTATTATCAAATTAGTTAATATATTTTTTTAATTTTTATTTATTTTATTAATAATTATAATAATATTTATATAATTTTATAAATAATTTTTAAAATATTATTTAATCATTAATTATAAATATTTTATATTAATAAAATTTATATTTATATTTTTTATTTATTTTTTAAAAATTTATAAATATTAAAGATTTTAGTTTTATTTTAAAACATATTTTGTTTATTTAAAGATATCTTATATTCAACAAATAAAGTTATAATAAACATATAAAATTGATCACAAAAAATAATATTTACACAATTTGTTGAATCAATTAAGAAAATTATTATGTTTTAAAAAATAAATAAATTTAAACTTAATGTAATATATATATATATATATAACAATAATAATAATAACTACTAAATTAAAAAATAATTATAAAATATTTAATTTTATTTATTTCATTAATTTTTTATTTTAAATTAATAAAAAAAACATAAAATTAACTACACTATAACATTAATCTAATATAAAAAATATTACTGATACAATAAATTAAAATATATATTTATATATTACATATAAATTGATAAATTAATTATTAATTTAATTAAAACATATGCAAGTTACAAAAATATATATTATTATATAATTTATTTATAATTATATTATTTGTTACATGGTCTGATTATATAATCTATATATATATTAAAATAAAATTTGCATAATATTAAAAATTTATAATGATTGTTGTTATTGAATAATATTAATGAAAATATAATTATTTTATTATTAAATTAGTTTACATATATTCAAATTTTTATTTATATTATTGATAATTATTAAATAATTGTAATAATTTTTATACAATTTTATAAATAATTTTTAAAATATTATTTGAGCATTAATTATAAATATTTTTATGTTATAAAATTTTATTTTTTTATTTTTTTTCAATTTAATTTTATTACATTATTAAAATTTTTAATTATTTTTATGATAATTATATTTTGTTTATATAAAGACATCTTATATTCAATAAATAAAATCACAGTAAACAAATAAAATTGATAACAAAAAATAATACTTACAAAATTTATTGAATCAGTTGAAAAAATTATTATATTTAACAAAGTAAATAAATATCATCATTATAAAAATTATAGATAAAAAAATATTTATATTATAAAATTTATAGATGCAGAAAAATAACATATGAGCATAGGAAGAATTATTAAGAGTATAAAAAATATATTAATATAATTTTATTATTTTATTTTTAAATTTTATTTCGTTTAATTTTGATTGCATCTTATTCCTGTTCAAAGACTTAACTATTCTTTAAATTGTTTAAATATAACAAATATAATAATTTATTATTAAATAAATTTATTATTTAAAAAGTGTAATCGTATATAAATATTTTTAATTTTTTATATAATATAATTTTTGTTTATTATAATTATAAATAAAAAAATTATAACATAATATATTAATTTAATATTAACAAAATTAAGAATATAAAAAATATATTATTAAATAACTTTATTATTTAAATATATTTTGATAGCTTTATTTTTAAATTATAATATATATATATATTTATTTATTTATACAGGCCGGTCTGTCAGACTTTATAAACAGCTTAAGTCTACTTTATTTACTTAAATAGGCCTTAAAAAAAGTCTAAGCCTGATTTATTTATTAAAAAAATCAGGCCTAAATTAGGCCAAGCCACAGACCTTGTCAGGTGGCCTGGTCTGTTTTCATCCCTACTCCTAAACTTGGATACAATAATAAGTTAAGTATAGTAAATATTTATTAAAATAACTCATTCAAAAATTAAGTTTAATATTTTAAAGTATTTATTGTTATTCATATATTTATATTTTTAATGTACTAAATATTTTTTAATAGAATTTTACTAGTTTTATATTGTATATTCAATTTTAAAGATTGATTTAATAAAATAAAAAATAATATAAAATAGTATAAATTAGGATTAATTTTTTTAAGTGAGAAAATATATTTTAAGGGTTTGATTAACAAAATTCTAAAAGTTTTAAATTTTAATTGTAAAGCCAATAAACTAACTTACCGCTTATAATTTATATTAAATGACTAAAAAAATTAGAATTATTTTGTATAAATTTAAATATTTAAAATGTTAAAGATAAAATAAGTTAAATCAACCCGCTAGTTTTTACAGTTTTTTTAATTTTTAATTTGATCTTCATAATTTAAATTTTTTAATTAAATATTATTATATATCTGTTAAATATTAATAACATGATATTTTTATATAATTTAGTAGCCCTTTTTTTCTGAATATTTTAATAATTATCTTTCATAAAAAAATAAATTTTTAAATTATATTATTAGTAGGAAAATCCTTCACTTGGATACAATAAAAAGTTCAGAATATATATATATATATATATATATATATATATATATAGATATATATATATATATATATTACTATTTTTTATCTTTATATAATAAAATATTCATATAAATTTGGTATAAAAACGTGAATCTACTATGGAACAAGTTAGACTTCAAACCTTAAGCTTTTATAAAAGAAATTATATAAAGGTCTTCAAGATTTAGGAATGACTCAACTTTTTTTCCTGATAGTTTCTGATTTATCATATTGTTTGATATTCAATATACAGTGTAAATATAATTTTAAAAAAAATCATTTAGTGTTGAAATATTATTTAACAATAATACGATTTAATAATTTAAAATATAATAATTGTAAAAAATAAAAAAATTAATAATTAAAAATGTCATATTATTGATATTTAATAAAGATATAATGATACTGATAGTTAAGAATTTAATTAAAATATTTTTAAATTATAAATATTTAATTTAAAGTTCTTAAACTATAAAGACTTAATGAAAAATGTAAAAAAAATTATAGGACTAACAAATTAATTTAATCTAAAAAAATATTACTACCTAAAATAAAATGAATGCTATTTAAAATATTCTTTTGTAAGTTAACTTTTAAAAATGGTAAACTCCCTTTATTTTCTACTTAACAAACAGCTCTATTAGTTTCTTGATAAAATAAATAAATAAACTATAGACTCATAAATAAATTATAAGACTACATTATCAACCACTTCAAATGATATTTGATATAAAAAAAATTAAAAAAAATTACATTCTGCAAATTGAGATTTTATGAATAAAATTCTTGGAATAATATAATTAGTGAAATTTTTTAAGATTTTACGATTGATTAATATAGAGTGTTTTAATTTTATTTAAAAAAGGTGAAAAAGATTTATTCACACTTATTCATAAATTAATAAATTTTAGACATTAGGTTTAAGAAATATTTTTACTTTCTTTTACTAAATAGGATATTTTTTTATTAGATTACTTTAAATATTTTTATATCAAACAATATCTTAAATGATATATTATAGATAAAATTATTAATTAAAAAATTAGTTGGCTCGAGTTGTTCTTGTTTATCTTATAGTTTTAAATTTAAATCTCAAATTCAAATGTCAATTAAATACTTAAAAAGAAATTTATTGTTCACATCGTAATACTTGTGTAAGAAAAAAGTGATTTTAGTTTTAAATTTTATAGTTTTGATTATATATAAGTTTAAATTTTAATATCAAAATTTAAGTTAAATTAATTTCAAGATAAATTTATAAATCAATTCAACTTCATTTTAAGTGAGTGTGTTTTACTTAAAAATTTACATATAAAAAATATCTTAAAGAAATACATTTACAAAAAAAAAGGCATGAAAAAGATTGAAATTATCAATATAAACAGAACATCTCTGATCACTCACCGTCATCAGTTGTGGCTGTAGATTTTCAATATCATTTTTGTTCCCTTTTTTTTCACCGTTGAGTTTCATGAGTGGCAGCAAAAGTAGATTTTTATAAATTTGAGGTTCTCTTTAATGTGATTTTATGGTGAATGTGCATTTCTTGTTCAAAGTATTAATAATTCAAGGGTTTCTATTAATTTCATTTTGACTTTTGTTAATGAGTCCAACCCAAATAGCCATCGCATATGAAATAAGGGGATTCCGATTCCGTGACTTATATAACTTTGCTTTTGCTTTGTATTCTTTTGATAGAAAGAGACTAACATTTAATAAAACATTTACATTCACCCTTACCTGCCAATTGTTTTCCTTCAACTTGGAAATTTTGTTCACAATTTAACTTTAACTTTAGTTATTAGTATTTAATATAATCATGCATTTGCATTAGTTTTTTCTTTTTTTGGGGGGATTGGGTGAGAGTAATCCAAGTGTCTGCTATAACAATGTTTATTTTAAACCCAAAATTCACCAACTAAAGCATCAAATTTTATCATATCTAAAATGAGTCAGCTTAATTGGGTCCACTAGATTAAGGGTGTATATTTGAAATGATTTGAATAATTATAAAAATAACTTATGACTCTTATAATATTTTAAAACTTATTTCAATAATTTTGGTGGTATAATTTATTGAAATAAAATTTTAACCTTAATTGCACCCTAAACCCATTGAGACTTTAATTTATTTATTTTTATTCAATTCATCTGAAATTTTCCTTAATCAGATTTAAACTGATACAATCTGTTAAGTATAAAATATGAATTTTCTTTTTTTGTTTACGATCTAAGAAAGAAACAACATTTTTTAACACACCTATAACTAGAACGGCAAATGATGGTAGCTGCACTAAAAGTTTCATGTTTAGGACAAGCGATTTGGTAGAACGTAAGTGATATTATTGAAGCAAATATAAAGTTATGAGTATTTAAATGTAAATTTAAACATGTTGTGTGTATGTTCAATAAGTCATAGTTTTCTGCTTTTATATTACTTCACATCATTATTCTGGAAAAAACAAAAGGGACACATTTAGTACAATTTTTTTACCAAAAACTTCACCAATATGAGATTTTTCTTAAAAAAATATTTAATATTTATTCATTAAAAATATACAAAATAAAATAATTGACTTGTTTGTAATAATTTTTACGACGTAGACAACAAGTATCTCTCATGTCAGGAATGATATTATTGAAAACATTAGAAAGTATATATAAAAACAAGTATTTTATAAGCACTAAGTGATCTCACGTTGATACATAGCATATATCATGTTACAATGAAAATATCATCCTAGTAATGCGATGAGAGTGAGATTTGAATTTCACGTGCTACATCTCAATTTATTTAGGGAGTGTTTGGCTAATACTTTAATTTTTTAACTAACTACTTCATTCCTCTTGTACAATTCTATAACTCTATTGTTTAATTTAATCTTAATAAAGTAAAATATTTGTTGTCAGTAGTAATTGTCTAAACTTATCCTTTACTTTAAAGTAAAAATTATTTTTTTTTAATTTTTTCATGTTTATATATAATATTTTTAATTTATTTTTAATTAAACTTTGCTAATTTTTTTGAATAATTTTTTACAAATATAAATTTTGACTAAAATTACAAATATTATATTTATAATGTAATGATAATATGAATAATAGAAAATATCTCTATTTAAAATGCAAAAAATAAATGTCAAAATTTTATTATTATTATTATTATTTCCTAAATTTTAAAATACAAATATTAGAAACTAACCTTAAAAGTCTAAATGCCAATAGCATCTAGACAAAAAGGAAGAGATACAAAGACGAAAGAGGAACATCAAAATAAGTAAAAGACTTTTTTTAGGCCTAATTTAGTTAGATGATCAACACATTAATTGATTTTTTTTACACGCATCACAAAACCTAACAAATTAAACAAATTTAAGCAAGTCTCAAATATTATTTATCAAAACAAATAAGAGGTGAGAACAGTTTTGAATATGAAGAATTAAAGATAAAGCCTCCTTTAAGTCACCTAATCCAAATGGTTTGGATACCATTCTAGATTATTAATTACATATTGAAGAAAATACTCCATAATTCAGCAGTTAGAGAAGAACACGACTTAATCTTGCAACAGAACCTAATAATAAATTGGCCATAATTATCTCTTATTAGACTCTTGCAAGTAGCATCGCTAGAAAAGAGGGAGGCAAAACTATCAACATTCAGTTTTAGTTAATTCAAAGAGAGGGGACCATTTGATTTGAATTTGATTATTGATTAGCCTTAGAAGAGTTGGAGAACTGCTCCTATAGCAAGAAGAAAATAACTTAGAATTTTAGAATATGAAAGCATTTCTATTCTTCCATAAATGTCAAACAATAATTCTAAATAATATGTTCCAATGGACAAAGTTATTAAAACTATGATTAGATAAATTTAATAACAATAACTCATCAAACTTCTGTTAAAAAGGGAATCTATTGATTAGAAAAAATAAAATGATCTCAAATTTGCTTAGCATAAAAATAATCCATAATCACATGGATAACTGATTTATATGTTTCACCGTACCTAGGACAGCTGGGAGAAGCTGTCATACCCCTCCTATGCCTTTTCTCATTTGTTAGCAATTTCACATGAACAATTTTTCTAAGGATAAACATAATTTTAGAAAGGCCCTCCTATTTCCAAACTAATTCAAACAAATTATGGCAGATAGTAAGGTGAGTGACATAATTATACAATAAAGTATAAGCATGTTTTATAGAAAACACCTCGTTCTTAGTTAAGTTCCCAAAAAATTGAATTTGAACTCCTATAATTAGAAGGAGAAATTATTTTAGAAATGGAATTACAAATATGGGCAAGGAGCACAAATTTGATTTTATCCCAATCCCCCTTATTAGAGAACAAAGTCACATGAATGTCCAAATCTTTATCTGAAACAAAATGCATAGAAAAATTATACAATGGACCAACATTAGGGATCTAGTTATTAGTCTAGAATTTACTAGTCATTCCATCCCTTGTAACCCAATTGAATTCTCAAGAAACAGAGGCTAAATAACAATAAGACTCTTCCAAAGATGAGAAACTCTTTGACTATATTTAAAACTTGGAACTTAAACCAGTCTAAAATTATATTTATGGCTAAAAACTTGGACGCACATATCACAAGGAGAAGTAATTAACCTCCAGCTAAGTTTTATTAGGCAGGCTTCATTAAGCATCTTAAGGTCATTAAGCATCTTAAGGTCCTTAAAGCATAACTCACCCTCTATTTTAAGTTTAAAAATTTTAGTCATCCAATAAGATGACATTTTTTTACCTCTTCAAGAGTCCCAAATAAATGTTTTACATATGTTATTGATCTCATTACACCAAGAAATAGAAATTAAAAGAGATTGCATGATATAGAAGGGGATACTCATAAGGTAAGATTGGGTTAAAGTAACTCTTTCAGTTAAAGACAATAATAAATTCATCTTCCACAAAGATAATTTTTCCTAATTTTATCTATGAGAAAGAAAAAACATTGTTTGAAGATTTTTTTTTATGGATTATAGGGATACCAAAATATCCACCCAACTAATTAGAAATGTTTATATTCAAGCATTGACTTATAATTTTAGACAACACAAGGTTAGTATTACTAGAAAAAAAATAGAGAAAATTTATTAATGTTAATTTGGAGACTATGAAAAGATTTTGTAGCACACTATTAATAATACTGGATAATGTTATCTACAAAAGACATATGAGACCCTTTTAGCCTTTGACTTTTAAGGAAAAAAGGAATTTAATCATTACTCATAATTTAATCCTATATTAGGTGAATTAATCTTTCAATACATAAAGCAAAGATATAATGGGAGAGGGAATCACTTTGGCGGATACCCTTAGAAGGATTAAAAATAATCAGAGAAACTCTCATTCCAATTTATGCACATAGGAGTGGAAATGCAATAATGAATAATGAATAAGTCTAACCAAATCATTCTTTAAACCAATTTTTTGAAAGGTATCAATAACAAAATTTCACCTAAATTTATTATAGATTTTTTCTAAATCTAATTTAATAATCATATACCTATTTCTACCTTTAAAATTATGAAGAGAGGGGGATAATTTTTAGAGAATCAAAGTATTGTCAATTCTCTATCTTCAAAGGATAAAACTGATTTAATTAACAGAGAATAAATGAGACAATGACTCTTTTAATATATTAGCAAATGTTAAAAAAGTTTTAATAAATAAATTTTTTAATTTTAAAATAATATATATAGTATATATTTTTAGTAAATTTTATGATGATCTTTTTTTTTATTTTTACTTTTTGATTTATATACTAAAATTAAATAGTATTGTGTGGCTAATGATGTGGTAAGTAAGGAAGGTAAACTAGGTTAACTTATCTCATTTTTTAGACAGGTTGACCAATTTAAAAATAAAAAATTACAAATTAAGTAAAAATATAATATATATATATATATATATATAATTATGTATTTAGCTTAAATAATTAATTAATTTTATTAATATTAAAAATTAACTTTTAATATTTATTAAATTTAAATATATAAAATAAAATATATACTAAAATTTTTATTATATTTTTAAAATGTTGACTCCAAATGGATATGACAAAAATACTCCAAATAAATAAATTATTTTATTTATATATTTTTTGGTAAATAACAAGAAAAAAGGCACTTTTTAGTAAAATCCTTCAAAATTACAAATAACCTATCAAGTTGCTTGGTAACCATGAATAATGTTAATCATACACCCTTTGTAATATACTTCTCAATGTTGACTAAATTTTATTAAAAATTATGTTTTAAAGGAGAATGTGTTAGAAAGTATATTGGTGGCATTCCTCTCGTAGCAGTAGATGGAGAGTTGGGTAACGGGCAATCGTAAGTACTGCACTGAAAAGAAAGTAGCATTTCTCCAACAATAACATTTTAAATCCATGTAACATAGAGTATGCAACTTTGAGTCCCCAATTTTTTGAAACAATTAAATCTCTAATTTTAAAATAAACAAATTTATTCCCCAATTAATTTTTTTCTTATGTTTACAAATTATATCAATTAAATCATCTTACTATAAAATCACCAACCAAAACATCAAATCATATTAAAAAAAAAATAAAAGATATCAAATTTTCTCCTTTCAAACCCTAATTTCATATCTTCTGAAATCCATCAAATTCTATTAACTTCCGACTAAATTTTTTTAATTAACCGTTTACAATCATTTCATGTTCCAAATCCATCATAAGCCCTCAAATAATTTGATAAATGATAATTCAATAATTTAAAGTAAAAAATTTAACGAAGGGGCTAAATTTGCTTTACTTAATTTCAAAATTAGAGACACTTCATAAAAACATGGAGACCATAATTCTTCACAACAAATTGGAGACATAAAATGTAATTAAGCCCAATAATAATAATAATACAGAAATCAGTACCCAAATTCAGGCAAATGTGTTCAAAATTCGAGCAGCTGGAAATTTGTTGAAAATAAATGGGATAAGCATCTCATTCTGTTGCTAAATTTCTTTCATCGTTGAAGAGGTTCAAGTTGGACTTGCGTGGGGAGGTGAACAAAATTTTTCATCCGAATATGTACACAACACATTATAATGACAATCATGTAGAGTTTAGTTCCCATCATCACTAGTTAAAGTAAAAATAATAGATACAAATTGAGATGAGAAGCTAAACAATACATAAACAGCATATTTACATATATTTGCCTGAACATTTTGCTGGGCAAAACCCTGTAACTCCACAACGCGAGTGATTTAGCTCCCACAACCATAGAATAAAGACACTTGAACTACGAATCATTCAGCAGAACTCAGATTCAGTATGAGATTTATCTCCCACCTGCATCCACTGAAAAACATCATACTCACGTTTGTTTCTCCTCAGGATGAAACTGACACGGTAAACCACAATGAGACTAACAATAAAAAATGTTGATGCAAAACACAAATAATGCTAGACCACATGATTGACAAAGAATGACTTGGAAGTCTGAAACCCTGTACTACAACTCCGTAAAATTGAAGTTAAGAAATGAGGCAGCAATCATAAAGAATATTGTCTATTTCAAATGCATATCCAAATTTATACAAAATAAATAAATAATAAGAACTATATAATAAATGGTATCTAACCTCGGATTTCACTAGAGTGAGAAGCCAGGTCAGATATATTTGATGCTCTCTGGGATATAGGAGTTAGTGGAGGTGATGTAGCTTCTTCGACCTTCTCTGGAACTTGGGGTGTATCCAAATACTTAGTATTAGAAACATTCAATGCCATAGCTCTCTGACTACTAGAGGGTATAGAAAAACTTCGAGAGACAATTATAGGTGGAGTTGGAAGTGGAGATGCTGTACTGGATACAACTGTAGGAAATTTACTAGTCGCAGCATGCTCTGGATTTCTGAATACTAATGGAGCAGAGTGACCAACTCGAGAAGATTTCATTGGCTTGCTGGACTGATTGCCAGGGGGTCTAGGAAGCTCGTGAAGCTCACTTATCCTAGGTGAAGAAACAAGGGGAGGTGAAGCACTAGGAGATGCTTTTGGAGATGAAGGCTGGGGCACCGGTAAACGTGGAAAACCTCCAGAAACAGGTTTTACTGATAGTAGCTTATTACTCAATGGACCAGAAAAAGCTTGTCTTTTTATTTTCTTTGTATCAGAAGCACTGAAAAGATCAACTTGTGGAAGTGATAGTCCCTCTGCTGAGGGGCGTGGTAACTGGGTGGATGAAGTATCACTGTTGCTTTCTTTGAGAACAGAGTGAGCTCTAGGGATAGTTGGTTCTGACAATTTACTATCAACAAAATCTTTTTCATTCTTTTTTTCATCCAAAGGTGAAGAATGCCACAAATTATGCAAAGATCCACTTGCACTCGTGCGGGGAGCTGAGCTAGTTTTTGTTTCTTTGTTGTGTACAGGTGTTGGAAGTACATACGCATTGGACTTTGCTGCAGTTGATGATAACATTTGTCTTACTTTTTCAGCAGGATCAAATTTCTTTTCTGCAATTATTGGAGCTGAATAACTGCTGACTCTAGGATCTCTATTTGAGACTTTAAATTCTCCTTGGTTCTTGTCTAAACTTGTCTGCCAGAAGACAAGTTAATAGAAGTATTAGAGGATGACCTAAGTTAAATTAAAGAATCATTCTCAATTGATGACCTGTTAACCAAGGCAACAGTGAGAATTAAAATTGTCATTGTCACAATGCTAAACTTATATCCCTAAGATTAGGTCTCAAATAATACCTTCAGCGCTTATCCTAAAGATTAAGAATTTTTTTTATAAATATTAGAAACAATATTAAATTTGATCAGCTAATTTGCCTAATTTATTTCTTTACAACTGATTTAAGATTTAACACTAGTTTCAAATTGGATTAAATCAAAAGAAGTAATAATAGAACCTCTGCAGTTTCTGTGGCTGAAGATTGAACATATGAACAACCCGATTCTTCAACCTAGCAGTACATAGTCAATGATTATGATAAGATGAATTTATAACTCTGATTCTGATAAAACATTGGTAATCTAAAGAATATAGAGATAAACAAGTATAAAATAATAACAATTACATGATTTGGCAACATTTAAATAATAAAACAAAAGCACGTAATCATTGACCTCAAAGTTTTGGGTAATATAAAATTCGCACCTCTGCTGAGTTTGGTGATGTGGAAACAATATATGACCCTTGCTTATTTGATCTGTAGTCAAAACTTAACTCACCACCTTCAATGACCTCAAAGTCATTTTCATCGTCATTATTACCATCCTCAAGGCCACTGAATTGGTAATCAATATGTTGCTGTTCAGCAACCATCCTAACATGTGGTTCAACAGCCTCTAGTGATTTAAGTCCTTTCCGAAAAAAATTCAACTACATTTAAAGCAGAACAAGAAAAAAAACATCAAGACACAGATAGGGACAGGAAAAAGATTTGGATGCAAAAGGTCATAGGTTAAGAAAACCTGAGCAGCATGGTGACGAGCTGCTTGTGTTAGGAGACTACGTGACTGGCCTTGTTTCAGGGACTTCAACCGAAAAGCACAGAGTGTTGCTTCCTCTTCGTATTCATCATGAGCTGCTTGTAACTGCTGTAAAGTGAAACTTTCACCTTTGCTACTTTTTGACTTTCCTTTCTCTTTCTGTTGGGCAATCATGTATTCATATACATCTCTGAAAGCAATAAAACAGATTCAGGAAACATAATATGATGTTGAGAAAAACAATAGCACTAGCATAAATACCAACCTTTTTTCATCACATTGCCGCTTCATGTCCTGCATGAGGAATAGAAAGGCATTGAGATGAAACATGACAGTTATATATTAAATATAAATTTATACAGCAGCAAAGTCACTACATTTCCAAATTATTGATCAATGTCCCAGGCGAGGCAATATGGCTCTAAAGAGCATCAAGGAAGTCATAGTTTTGTATATCTTAGACTTGAGCTTTGTAAAGAAGACTTGATTATGTTAAAGCCCAGCTTAAAATTAGAGAAGGTGAAAAATTGAATAACACTTCCTCCTTCCCCTGTTAAGTTTTACAACATTTCCTGTACACCTTGCTCAGTTTTGCTTCAATCTCCACTATTATTAACAACCCTCAAATCCCTTACATACAAGTACATCACTCAACAAATCCACTAATCAACTTTAAATGCATGAATGAAGCCCATAACTTACTGTATTTTCATAGCAGAAAGTCAGAAACTTTAAAATTCAAAGATAGGTTTCTCTAATAGTCATTTCCTAACCAAACTTTTACCCATATCAATAACAATTCTCCAACTTGTTCTCCAACTATGAAAATTCAGGATGAACATCTAATGAATTATTTTTCTATTGCTTTCCTTTCTTTCTTTTTGTTGGTGGCAGCAGCAGGGTAAACCTAAATCTAAATCAGTTTTAGATATAAAAACCAATTATGAGCAATCACCCAACAACCCATAGGTGATTTGGTCCTTGACATGGTATCAAAACCTCAAATACAAAGTGGTCAAGAGTTCAAACTTCATCAGGCCCATACTTCTAAATAAAATTTGAATTTCAGCACAAGATATAGTGGGTCAATACATTGTCCATGCTTCAAGCTCAAAGTCTCTTGTGTGATGGGCTGTTAGATATCAAAACCAATCATGATCAATCACCTAGCAACTTCAGTTTTTAGGAGATGGTCCTTGACATGTTCAAATAAGCAATTCCTATGGTCTGTGAGGAACAATGTTATCAGGTTCATATGCTGTAGCATAGTTATTGGGTGTTCACCATACTTTCCAGTACACAGTACAGGTAAGGGTACATGGCATATGACCTTCTAAGTATGCCAGTACATGTGGGTATACATAGTCAGTATGCTATTTTGGGTTTGCAGTATGCTTTAATATATTAATCAGTATGTTACTCGATGAAAATTTTCCAATTAATTATAAATTACAATTAATGGTAGCAGTTGATTACAAACTACTTTCAATTAAATGTGTCTCTTCATACTCTTTTTTTTTATTGGTCTAGCCATAAATATGTTTTCCAAATTTTTTACCTTTCACAATATTGACGGCAAAGTTGCTCAATAGTGCAACTTTTTGTCTCTACTTACCACAAACAAGTAAAAAAAAAAGAATGCCACTTGTACAAACCTTGCTATGAGGAACAATATTACCCTTCATACTCCTTACCTTCTATCTTTTATTTTAGTTTTTTTCTTTTTTCAATAAGGCAAAATGAACAGTTATTAATTTATCTCACATCCTTGTACAAAGGCCTTCTCGCTGACAAAATGCCAAACGTACCATTTATTTTTTCCTTCTTCCTCCAGCCTTCTTCTACCTTGAAAACTCTTCTCTACAGAAATAACTGCTGCCTTCCACTGAGTTCATCCATCTGGAACGCCAGTGTTAGCTAATTTTGTGGCAAATTGTGCAGAATTAGTACACTAAAGTACTGCAATCACTGTGCATGAATTGGTACACAGTTTGAGGGGGTTACCAGCGAAGTTCATAACTATAGTCTAGAGTTAAATGCTTGTTGCCTCCATTCTTCTGAATATAATTAAATTGGTACACAGTTAAATGCTTATTTGAGGCAGCATGTTAGGTATAAAACCATTCATATGACTTCATCCCACACTTACTTTTGCAATACTTAGCTAAAAGCTACAAGTTGTTCACTGGACAAAGATAACAGCTAAAGGAGTAGGTAGCATTAGAGTGACAAAAAATTGCTTGTATAGAGCACAGCAGTCTATGCTTTCAGTGAGAAGTTTGTATTGAGTATGTTTGAGAGAGGGAGCTCAGAATTCCCATATTTTGTGATCTACGTGTGTCATCTGATAGACAAATACCTGGTATCTTTATTAGAAAGAATGGAGAAAGAATTCTACAATTTGCAAAACAGAACGCAAACACACTGCAGAACTTTGAGAGTCTGCACCTCCCAATGCCAAAAGGCCTCAATTTCCTCCTACAAATGACAAGACATCTCTTTCTTAACCTATCCTATTATTTATAGGCAACATGCCTTATTTCTTCAACAAACCAACTTAACTATCTATGTAACAAACCATCTGTTGATAACTAACTAACTAACCAACTCATGGGTAGAAATGTCTCACGGATGTTCACTCAACAAATTAAATTATGAAGATGAATCTTCTGAAACATTCAAGAGGATGGAACAGCCTAATTTCAACGGGCATGTGATCCCCTTGGATGTTTGGCTAGGGCTGAGATTTTTATTTTGAAAACCAGAACTGAAAGTGCTGCTAGTTCTTTTGCAGGTTTCAATTAAAAGAGCAGCAGTGCAGTGGTTCAGATATCTAAAGAAGAGGATGCCTGAGAAAATTTGGGAAGCACTGAAAACAGAATTTCTGAAGAGGCTTGGCTTTTTGTGTAGGTAAAGCAAATTCATATGAGCAATTTGTGGCCTTGTGCTGAAATGATTGGGCTGAAGATTATGTGCAAAAATAAGAGATGCTGTTTGAACAACTACTAGAAACTCCTGAAGAACAAAGATTGGAGCATTGGGCTACTTTAAGATGGCTTGTGTGAGACAATTACTGATTAGAAGAAGGATCCACACTCATTGCCCACAGGGAGCAAGATCAATTGAAGAAGGGTTTTAGGGAGATAGCATGGGGTTTGCAAATCTTGGCGCTGTTTGGCCAAATTGGCAGTTTAAGGGGCAGTTACCAAACTTCAAGTCAGCGCATAGATTTTGGGCATAGCCCACCCACAACTGGTTCAAGTCAAATGGGAGATACCAGCCTAAACCAAATCCAACAGCCCAATTAGCTGAACGGATTTTTTTCTGCAGATAATCTGAATAGCAGTGCTGGGTGTAATAGTCAAACAAGGACGCAATTCAGGAATAGAGGTATGAAACAATTGTCATAACAAAAGGATGTTCTGGAAAGGGAAGAAAGATGCTGCTTCCAATCTAGCCCACTGTTGAGTCCTCTCCATAAATGTCCTGACTCCTGAGAGAAAGCTTTGGGATTTGTTATGGGGGAAGATGACAATGGAATACCATAAGGGGAATGAAGTTGCTGGATTGGTGGAGACTTTAGAGTCAACTAAACCAGTTAGTGATAAAACATTTTACTCATTTCAACATTGAGGACAAGAGTCACAAGACTGCTTCTTAGTAAGAATCATTTAGTAACAACTAAAAATTAAACATGACAAAAGGAGAAGTACATAAAAACATACCTCAACAGTTCTTAGTTCATTAAGAAGAGACTCTGACGGATTGGTTATTGTCATTACTATGTGAGAACGCTGATGAGCAGAAAGAATCAAGTCATTATAAACATTTTGTTAATGAAGATTGCTTAGGTGAAAAAGTAAAAGCAAAACAATCAAAATGTTGCACTCAAAGAGAGGCTCACATAGCTATCAACAAGCTTCTGAAGTTCAAGCTGCACACTTCCAAGCATCCCCAAAACTTTACCTGCATGCAGTTCATAACAACTGTAGCAACGACTATACATCATATAAATCAACTAGCAAAAAGGCTAAGTATCTTGAATAGCAGAATAGGGCAGTCATGAAAATATTTTACCCACTCACCACTTTCTTCATCATCATTTAAGGCAGTTTTCTCGAGCAGACAAGTACCCATTTCTTGCAGCGACTCAGCAAATTCTGGAATACATAACACAATAAGGGATACTCTAGAGACTTTACTATTTTCAAGGCAGCAAAACTCATCTAAAAGAACTAACTCAGAAAATTTAAAATGTTTGTCTAAACATCAGTAAAGATAACATAGTGTAGATGCATAAGAAAAGGATACCCTAGAGAGTAGAGACTTTGATATTTTCAAATACATCCATGCTGCTATCTCACTAGACTTAAAAGGTAGTCACAATCGCAACAACACAATTTCAATACAAATAAGAAGACCTTCCCAAGGCAGGTGTGCAAGTTCAGCATTATGAGTTGTTTCCCTATATGGGCATGAATGGCAATTCTAGACTACATCAGTGGGGTAAAGACCATGCCAGCCATGGACTATGGCAACTGGAAATGTAAATATGTAGAGACATTATACATGATGACACAATTTCAATACAAATAAGAAGACCTGCCCAAGGCAGGTGTGCAAGTTCAGCATTATGAGTTGTTTCCCTATATGGGCATGAATGGCAATGCTAGACTATATCAATAGGGCAAAACCATGCCAGCCATGGACTATGTCAAGTGGAAATGTAAATATGTATCTTAAATTGTTAGAGACATTATACATGATGACCAAAGTGAATAAAAAAATGCACATATAATATTTTACTTAAATTTTTGGAGATATAAAACACCACAGACTAACTGATAAACAGAAAAACAAAATGCAGATTTAGTTCCTAAGGCTTTGTTTGGGAGTTAGTTTTTTGAGGGAAGGGGAAGGCTCATATCATGATAATCCTTGTTTGGGAGCTTTCATCAGGGGGAGGTTTTATAAACCCTCCTAACTCTATGTTTTTAAGTTCCCCAAATTTGGGAGACTTTTTATTAACCCTCCTTTCTCCTCCCTTCTCCTCTCCTGACTCCTCCCTTACCCTTCAAACCCTTTCCTTCCTTCTCCCTACAAACTCCCAAACAAAGCCTAAGTTTCAAAGACATTACAAGTGAGGAACAAAGTGAACAATATGAGCTATTAACCAAGCACCAAAGACTTTTTTTTACCGTAAGCACTGTTTTGTGTAGCAGCAGCTGCAGAAAGCAAGCTATCATAGCAATCTCTCATATCTTGCATGTCCTGCAAAACCAGGACTAGAATTAGTGAGCCACATAGAAGAGACTGAGCACAAGATCATTCAACATTTTTCATCAAACTCCCATTGCCACACTCATTTTTAACACCCTAACCCTGTAACTACAACTACGATAAATAACCGAGCTCAAGAGTGTAATAAAGCCAGCACTGAAAGAGCCAAATTTCCTTCTGAAACACTATCCACGTGTTATCTCTAGAAAAAAAAAAAAAAAAAACTTTTGTTCCATCACTGACAACAAGCTTCACAACTGAAACTGATTATTATTATTATTATTATTATTTTCCACAGAAAATCGTGGGGACAAAATACGAATTTTATGCGACCGAGCACGATTTGAGGAGGCCAATTGAAAAAGCCACATAATTTCCCGTAACAAGATCAAATATTTATTCAATAGCAATAAAAGTTTTTAAAAAAAGAAAAAAGAAAAGGGAATTATCAGGTTCAGAATACAAAAAATTTGCAGGGGGAGAGAGAGACCTTGGCGGCGAGAGCGAGGTCGTCGAACTTAACGGAGGGGTGAAAGTCTTTCTTGTCCTTGGGAACGCTCTTGTGAAGTGCAATTTTCCTCAACTTGCTGAGAGAGGACTTCATTTTGCACCCTAAGACTAAGGAAGAAGGAGGAGAGAGGGTTTTGCGTGGGAATTGAAGGGAGAATCTCAGGGAGAAAGCAAGTGTTTGAAGAGTGTGAAGGACATTGGAGAGAGAGAGAGAGAGAGAGAGAGAGGGTGGGTGGGTCAAAAGGAACGGAAGGAAGGTAGATCAGAGAGAAAGAGAGAGATGCGAAATGAGGAAACCAAAGGGGTATCACTCCAACGTCACGCCCCTGAGCCCAGAACCCCGCACGCTTCCACACTCTTCACACGTGTGCCCACTCCGTCTGTCTCCATGACCACTTTCGTAATTTAACACTAATGCTGCCTCTTCCTCGATTCACATTTTTTATATCGCGGCTTTCTGCATGTAAGCACGTTTAGATACGATTTTTTTAAGGAAAGTAATAGTTTATTTTTTAAACAAATCATTAAGAAAATTGATAAAAAAATTATTAATTATTTAAAGTAAATTGGATTAAATTTGTAATAATTTAAGTCTTATGAATAAATATTTATTAAGGATATCAAATATATAGGTAATACATGCTATATTTTTCTAATTAGAATTCAATATTTATAAGTAATTAAATTCAATTCTAAGTGAGTATTCAACGTATCAAAATTTTTTTTTAGATCTTGAAGGTTATATTAATTGAGAATCATATTTTTTGAAATTTTTTTCTAATAATATAAAAAATTAATTTGGTATTTCTTAAATTTTATTAGAATACCATACAATGATTCTTGAAAATGTTTGATTTAAATAATTTTTTAAAATATGCTTTTCCTCTTTGTGATGATTAATATATTTTATTTATAGCATCAAATACATTTTAAAAAGATTTAAAAATCATATGAAACAATTATAACATAAAAAATATGTTTAAAAAATAAAATTATATTTAAAAAACTCAACTTATTATCTCTTCATTTCTCTTTATTTCAGATGATTAATATACGAGTGACTAAATTATGAAATTTTAATAACAATTACTTTAAATAATATTCAATTATAATAATAAGTTAGTAATAAAAGTTTTGAATAAAAGATGATAAAATGAAAAGATAATATAAATTAAGTTTAGGGAATAATTATACTTTTATAGTTTTACTTTTATGAAAAACATATTTTTACCCCTTTCATGAGGGTATTTTCTTAAAAATTTAAATTTAAAAATATATTTTTAGGAATTTTATTTTATGATAATTTTTTTATCTTATGCATTCTAAACATAAAAATTTAAAATTCTCAACTTAAGATTGTTAGAAAATTTTTAAAAATTTCTCTACCAAACACCTCTTAAGAGTTGAGACTAACAAAATTTATTACTAGCAAAAATGTTAATTTTAATCTTAAAAGTTGAAAATAAGCAACTAACAAAAAAAAAAATTATTGAAAAAATATTTATTATCTTAAGAATATTAAATTGTAATTTTAATAAATTTTTACTATTTCTATGTATTTAAACTTCATTTTTATTATGGATTGAGTTTGATAAATTTATATTACGAATTATTTAATTTTAGGGATACATTTTGAAAAATATAGTGCTATTTTAACTTTTTCTTACCTTTTTTCTATTTATACAAACATATTGAAAATATATTTTAAATATGATAGAGATATCTTCTTGAATGAAAAAAAAATATTGCCAAGACCCTTTCATTTCATCAAATTATTTGATTTCCTTTATTTTGTACTAAATTCTTAAAAATATATATTATTTTCAATCACACTTCTTTGAACTAATAGTGTTATTTTCTTTAATTATTTTTATAATTTTAAATCATTAGTATAACTAATCACAATTAAAAATATTTTTATAAGTTTGAATAGGATTGTCTTCGAGAGAAGATACACGAAGTCTATAAAAAAAAAAAAATCTTTTATAGACTATTTTCGTATAGTATTTAAAATTAATACATAGTGAAATATGAGATTTTGAGAAAAATTACATAAATATAGTAAAAAATTAACTAATTTTACTAAAAAATTGGTATTAGTGTATAATATTTTTAAATTTCATATTTAAATTAATTTTCTACTTTTATAACCTTAATTTTTATAACATTTTCTTTTTCTTTTTTTTGAAAATGATGTGCATGAAATTAATAGCAAAATATTAAGAATTTTAAATACCTATGTAAGATCTACCATTAATATTAAATATAATTTAGTTAATGTAATTTATCCTAATACATTTAATATATTTAAATTAGAGAGATAAAGTTTTTATATTAATTTTCCGTGATAAAATTTTTTAATTAGAAGGACGAAAGTGTCAACGGTCAGAGATATAGTATGAGAAGCGAAAACTTTGAACCGTACTTTGACTGACAGTGGAAGGGTCAGATTCAAATACGCTTTCCCTCGCGTCATATATAATATATCTTTTCAAATTTTCGTCCTTTTGTTTTTCTTATAAGAAACAATCAATAAGATAATGATAAGTATATCATTATTTCGTATTAAATAATAACATTAATTTTTTTTATCTTATAACAAAGTTTCATTTTTTGTAATGAAAAATGGGATTCCTTTGTGTGATATGTTTTTTTTGTGATAGCGGAGCAATTGGATTAAATTAATTTAACATCTTTTCAAATTAATGTCATGGTTGACATAACAAATGAAATTCAGAGAAAAGAGTGTAACGTAACGTGAATGTATTTAAAAATTGACGTGCTTTGAATGTAACCAATTCATTTGGTTATAATAATAATATTATTATTCGGCTATGTTTATATTATGTTATGTTCTCTCTCTCTCTTTTTTTTTAATTTCTGGTAAGAACAGTGACGTACTTCGTAAATATCGGCAGAGAAATTTAGTATGTCTTCGTTTCATTAATTGAAAGTCAAAAGAAGAAAAGAGAAAATATCTTTGCCACCCCCTTTGTAAAATCTCTAACTATTTTTTGGGTACGTAATATTAATTTTATACTTTGATCTTTCGACTATATGCTAAAATAATAAAATAACAACTGTCATTACATCTTGTTAATAAGTATTTAAATTAGATAAAATTTTCTTGCCTTTTATATAGTCTCTGTAGAATAATTCTGATCATTAATTTTAAATTGATAATTAATAGAATTAATAATTTAATTAAAAAATATGTTAATATTTTTATTTTTAAAATATTAAAAAAATTACAATCGTTAATTTAAAAATAATATTTTATATCTTCTCAAGTTAATGAGTATTATAACAAAAACTTTTAAATTAATTAACGTGCTTTTAATTACAAAAATAAGGGTGTTTAACTAGAGATACTAAGAAGTTTTCAAAGAGTGCAATCATTGACAAAAATAGTTGAAACATGCAACTTTTATAATCTAATTACACCTTGGGTATCATACTAATTAAGATCATGGCTTGGAAACTTGAAGCATAATATAGCTGCTAGTTGCTTTTTCTCTCATTGCTTTTAAATTGTTGCTTTGACATTAAAAAGCATTCTGCATGCAAAGCTTTTCTAATAATCGGAACCAGTGAACATGAAGACAGAAGAAACAGCATCATTCGAAAGAAGATTTTATCTGAAATTAACATGAATGTTGGCAAAAAGATCGAGACAGGAAACGAAACGAGGGAAGATGTTGCAACTTTGAAATTGTAGAGTCTTGGGGTCAAAAAGACGTTTTCTTGGTGTTGAAGGAAGAAATGAGGAGTGATGAAATCAAAGAAAAGAGTAGCCATTTTCAAAGGTCACCTTTCAAGTATGGCTAAATGCTTCTTCATACACTCCAAAGCACCACAAACCAAGACAAATAGGTGTCGGCTACATAAGTTTGCTTTCTTTCTTTATTTTTTTCTCATTTTGCGGATGGAAAAGTCTTTTTATTTCTTTAATTTTTCAAAACATCTTCTATACATACTATATTTAGGCATAGTTTGAATAATTATCTCAATAAGTACTTATAATAAAAGAAATAGAGAGATAAAATAAATTAAACTTCTCTTAAAAGTTGTCAAGTCATACATCTTAATTTTTGGAGGAGTTAAATGCAAAACTTTAAAAAAATAAAAGATGAATAGGTTGATTAGTTTATTAAAAAAGATTGTTTTTATCTTATCTTTTTTTTTATAAATATTTATTAATAAATTAATCCAAATTTTATCCCATGAGAATTTTTATACTATTTTTCTTCTTTGTGTTCTCCTCCCACTCCCTAATAAAATCTCACAATAAGACTCCAAATTTTCTTGGACAACAAAAATATTCACACTAAAATAAAAGGAATAGTAGATTTGGAAGCATATAACCTATAGTTTTAAGGGAAATTTTGCTAACGAATTATTGAACTCATTAAATTAGTTATTTTTGTGTGAGCATAATTTATCAGTTACTTTTTAGTGTAAAAATTTAAAACCCTTTTAAAAAATATTTTAATTTATTTTACATTCATTTTATTTTATTTTCCATGTTATCACTTGTAATACGCCTCATATTAGTATTTTTCTTATTGTTTGAACCACATTATGTAATACTTTCGTTGTCCTTTATAAATTCAATTGTTACATTTAGTTGGAACCAGTCCTTCAAAATGCTCGAGTATATTGCATTTTACATGTTAAAAGTCATATTTTATATCTGATATATTTACTTTCAACACATATATAAGTAAATGAGCTATATTGTGCTTCTTATTGGCTTAGGTAATACCGACCAAGATGAATTTAACTACTTTAAAGTAAAAAAAATGTATAAAAAGAGAAAGTGAGGATTTACTTACTTTTTATTTGAATTTAAGTATTTTATAAATATAACTATTAAGTAATGGTAAATCAGTTTTCACTTTTTCATTTTACATTTACTAATTTAGAAAAATTAAATCCAGATCAATATAAGTTGATGGAGGGGCATAGATTCTACACATTACTACTGAAACGGAATTTTTTGAGCTTTACACAATATTTGAGAAAATAAATATATAATGTAATTTCATGATGAAAAAATAACCAATTTTTAAAATTACTTCCATTTAAAAATATTCTTAAAAATGCTCTGTTCAAAAATTAGTTTTCACAAATTATATATAATTATTTTTTCACATTAAGATATAGAGATTGATTATTAGTCATGATCTCAACCTCAAACAAGGAATGAATGGGAGTTTTTAATTATATTAAGAAACTTTTTCCTTCTCATTAGTAAAATAAATAAAAGGTTCAACTATCAATCTTTTTAACGTTGATATAAAATGTTAAACACATAACAGAAAAATTTAAAAATGAAAAAAATTTGAGTGTAGTGAAAAGCAATCAGAATTTACAAGTATAAATCACGAAT